CTTTATCATTTTGGAAAACGATTTCTGCCTCTGCTAGAAATTGCTTGGAGCTGACAAAATACAGTCGCTGCTTCAATCTTTATCGTTTCAAGCTAAATTGAAATGACACCTTTAATCAATGGATGAGACCATACAGGGTAGAAAATGAGCATTGCTATTACCTGTTTTAATTGCATACTTCAGAGTTGTTCTGCAGTTCAATAAAATTTCTTCCAAGGTCTGTGGCTGGTCTGCCAGTTCCCAGTTATATTCCTGGAGCAGCTCATTTGGGTAATGGAAATCAATAACTTTTGTTGATCTATCAAAACTTTTCACCACATACTGAAGTAAAATGTCCACAACATCTTGTAGGAAAGACATAGTAGTTATTTCTCCATTGCATGTCGGCAGAAGATCTGTGAATGGAGAAATTTAAAAGTTAACTTTGTTTTATGACCACATGCATAGATTCTGAACAAAGCCTTCTCCCATTTATGTTTACAAAATCTTTGCAGTGTAGTCAATAAAAATAGGGTTTGTTTTCATTTAATAACCAAACTAGCAAGGTTGTATTTCGAGGATAACAAGATTTAATATCCTATCTAAATTCGCCATTTCTGTCCACAGTATATTTCAGACTAATTTTTAAGACAGCGAGAGCACAGAAACAAGACAAAAGGGAAAACGAATCTCACAGGAAATAAAGACTGAGCAACAAATGCTACAAGCAGCACCCTTAAAACTGTAATTTGCCTTGCAATAAAATACCTTCTTGGCGACTCTCCTATGCAAGTGACTTGTTGATAATTTAATGCCTTTTTCTGAGACAGTGCTGCACGGGGTCTTGGTGTACACAGAGCTTTTGTTTAAGAGCGATGGCTCAGTCAAAACCAGACTATAGTGGAAGCCTCTAATTTGGGATCTCGGGCTGCCGAGCAAACGGGAGAATCCTTGGCTAGCACATGTCGGCGGGGAGCTGGGATCTATTCACTGGAGGAGACGATACCTCCAAGGTCAGAAAAGATGAGGTGCAAAAATATCTCGAATTAAAGCAAATGAGGAGGAGAGCGCTCTATCTCCCTCCTCCCCTCCAACCTTAATTACATCGCAGGGTCTTCAATGAGAGGTCGATGCTTTCAGTGCTCCTTAGAAAGAAAAAGCTGCGGGCTCCAATACGCGGGATTTTACTGCTTTGGGTTTTTCTTTTCGGGATTTTTTGTTGTTTGCGTGATTTTTCACAGATTTGAGAAATGCCCGGCGGGGGCCAGGGCTGAGGGCGCAGAGCTCCGCCGCGCACCGCCGGACCCCCCACGCCTCCTGCCCGACGCGGGCGGGGGCGATTTCCCGACCGAACCGCTGTTTTTTTCTTGTTAGTTTTAGAGAAGCAGCCTGCCCCGGGAGCGCCGTTACCTGTTGAGTGCAGAAATGCGTAATTCACGTCCGCTTTTTGACAACCGCAGGGTTTTTTGTCGCAGGTGCAGGTCGGCCTCGGCTCCGCTACCCCCGGGGCTGCTGCCCTGGCGCCGGTTTCCATAGGCTTCTCGGCATCTCCGTAGAGCAGGGCTTGACAGCGACACGGACACACGGCCTCATTACCGGGACATCGACCCTCGTCCCCCGCCCCCCCGGCCCGGGGCAGGTCCCGCGGCGCTCCGTGGGCGCGCAGCCGCGCCCCCGCCGCGGGCTACCGGGGCCTCCCTGCCCTTACCGCAGAGTTTGTTTCCGATCCCTCCCGTGAACTTCTGGGCAACCTGACACCAAGCTCTGGCTGGAAGAGAAAATCGAGTGGAGGGTCCGTGGGGCGGGAGTGGGCTGAGGGCGTCTCGCCCGACCCCCGGCCCCGCTCCCCAGGAACCGCCTGCCCCGCAGAGCCCCGCGGCGCCGGCCCGGGCTCGAGTCGCCGTCGGTGCCCGCCGCCGGCACCGCTTCGTCCCGCCGATCGAGCGGGGGGCTCCGGCGACCGGGCAGAGCTGTCACGGCGGTTCCGTCGGGCCGGTCCCGCTCGGCGTCCTCCTACCTGTGCCGGGGGTCTCGGCGGCTGCGGAGCCCTCCTCGGCTCCGAAGGGCCAGAAGCCGGAGCCAGGGCTTGCCATGGCGGAGGCGAACCGGCGGGGCGGGCGAGGAGCGGCGATCTGCAGCCCAGGCGGCCCGAGCGAGTGTGCGTGAGTGCGAGTGTGCGGTGTGTAAGTGCGCGCGGCTGCGCCAGGCGGCGGCAGGCGGAGGGGCGGGAGCGCCCCGGGCACGCGTGGGTGGGAGCGTCTCCCGTGGGCGCCCCCGGGGCGCGCTCCGCCGAGCGGCTGCGGCCGCGCCCCGCAGCGCTGCTGCCCGGGACGGCACGGGCGGCTCCACGGGAAGGGGTGCCCGCTGAGGCGGCCAGCGGCGACGGCTGTTCTAAGGCGTGTTCGCACCCTGCTGCATCGGAGGAGCGAGGGGCGGCGGTGGGAGGACGGCAGCACTCGGGGCAGACCCGAGCTATAGGCGCTGCTTGAGATGGGGCTGCAGCTGCCTTGGGGGCCGAAGGCGAGCCAGGGTGCCTGTGCCGTCTTCACCCTACCGACCGTCCGTGCGGCCGCAGCCCGGCGGGGCGGGCGGAGAGGGCTGAGCCGCCCGGTACCGCCGAGCGCTGAGCGGAGCGGTAGTTATCCAGGTCTTGGCGTAGACGGCCGCGGTGGTCCGGCCTGGTACCTCGAGGGGAAGGTTAGGACTACGGGGAAGTGTCCTCAGTGCTTTAAGATGCAAAGCGAAGTGAAATCCCCCACTACACCTCCCACTTTTGCACCGGGGCCCCTCTGCACTTGCGAGCCGGGCGCACCTGGGCGGCGGCACCGAGGCCGGGCCAGCCCGTGCCCCCGGCGGTCCCGGGGTCGGGAAGAGAAAGCCCCCGAGCCCCCTGCGTCCCATCGGCCCGGCCCACAGCCGCCGGCGGGAGCCCCGTCGGGCCGGGCGGCCGCGGAAAAGGCGCCGCGGAGGGGCCCCAGGGGGCTGGGCTCCCGCTGTCCCTCCTGCTCCCGGGCAGGCAGGGGCGTGCTGGCTCCTACGGACGTGCTGGAGGAGCCTTGCGCGACGCCGCGGCTGCCCCCGCGCGTCCCTGGAGCCCCGGGGCGCTCCCGGGGCTTTCCTGCGACATTCCGGCTTGGGGACCCTGGTGGAACCGCCACCCTGGCTGCAGCCCCGAGGAGGCAGAGGGCCCGGCGGCCAGACGGGAAGAGCACGGGAACAACTGTTCCTATTCCCTTCACGACGTCTCTAAAGGCAACCAAACCTCGCTTTTCCACCCAGCCGGGTCTTCGCGGGAGCGTTTCCCTAACGCAGCTGCCTCTCCTCTGGCACAGGAGGGATTTCGAGCCCTGGCCTTGGAGGGAGGAAGGCGGGACCACACCAGGTGAGAATGTGGCTCTGCCGAGACAGCTGGTCACACAGCCAGGCCCTGTGTTCAGCCCGGGGCATCTCTCTGTTTTTTGTAGGCACACACTCGGTTATAAGAAGTGCCCACCATGAGACCTCACAGAAATGGCTCCATGCTTTAAAACACTGCTGTGATGGGAAAGCAGAAGAAAACCAGTCCACGCATCTCTTCGTGTGAAATTACAGTCTGTTCCAGTTGCTGCATCACACTGGCTTGGACGCAGACAATAACTCCAGCTTTCTACGGCCAGAGGCTGCTGCGAGCCCTTCCCTGCCTTGCTCACTCATGCCCCAGTCCACAGTGTTTTGTCGGTTCTGGATGTAATTCAGACACAATCAGCTGTATCACTGCTTTGTACATTTTTATTTACCATTTCATTGATACATGACAAAGCAACTTTAGAACAGATTTCAGAATTTTAACAATTTATAGCAAATTTTACATTGCAGTACGTTTGAATTCAGTGCACAGCCTTGTAACTAGTTAGAGATCAGGAAGCGATGATTATCTGTCTCTGGGGAAAAGGCCAAAACCCAGCCCCTGTGGCTGACTGCTGCCACCAATTGTGACATTTAGGAGGGCTGAGGAGCCGAGTAGGATCAGGCCTTTATGCTGGCATCATGAAATTTGCCTTCTCTTGCTTTGCAGCTGGGAACATGCAATTATGAATCCTGAAAGGAAGCGCTGCAATTATCTGTGTGGTTTCTGTGAAATAAGGTCTTCTGAATACAGAATCAGGGGGAAATTTGAACACTGGGGCTATTGCTTTTATTTTCATTTAATTTCTAGTGGAACTGATTAAGAATGATCATTACATTTCAGCAGCAATCAACCAGAGAGTGTATTTCTATTCCTTTCTTGGTACCCCAGAGATTAAGATTCCTAAAAATCTAATGCAAATGAGAACAAAGCAAACATGATTTAGAAGTTCATCACTTAGTCACAAAGCTCAGAGGCAGAGGAGAGGGCTGGATATAGTTCCCATAAATGGACATCTCCAACATAAAGATTATACACACAATATTGACCTTTAAAACTGGCTACTAGCTTTACAGTAAAGTCAATAATGAAATAAATTGCCATAGTATGCTATCCCATTAATTGTATATGTTTTCATTAGAGGAACACTTGCGACAAACAGGTCATCCCAAAATTTAAGCAATGTAAACTAAAATACGTAGAAATTCCCCCGTGGTGTTCTTATAATAGTTTTTTGCCTGTAAAACAATTTATTAGAAACAATAACTAAGGTTTTCTGAAGGTGAATATGGAAATTAGAAAGCTTAGCTAGGGAACTATAAAGTAAATTATTATTTTGATTGGATGAGACTGATGAAATGGAAAAAAAGAAATATGCACTGATGAAAGTAAACTAGACTTAAGCTGTTTAATAATTTTAGGATGTAGCAATGGTACGTGAAAGAAAGCTGATTTTTTTATTAGGGAAGAATAGGGTATGTGACTGACAGTGTCCCTTTGCAATGGTGTTGGGCTGTAAACCACAGTAATTCATATTCACATGAACACACACATAAACTTGAAACATTGAAGATTAAAAAAAAAAAAAAGGAAACACATGGTATAAAATGATAAAAAAAATGTATGCTAATAAAAGCCAAATGGCAGCAGGAGCAGCAGCAGCAGCTAGAACTGCTGGATAAGGCGCCGGCGCTGTGAGGTCTTCCGCAGCAGTCGTCTGTAGTCATAGGGATTATCTTCGGCTTTGCTCTCTTCCAGGGGTCTTTCTGCAACCCTCGACCTAGGGATTAAGCACAGAAGTGTTTTAGAAGTTAAAGTCAAAACATTTACCTTGCAAACACTCCTAATCGACTGCTTAACCTCCGCCCTTGTGGGGGAAAAATAAAAGGAGAAAGAAAAAAAATCAGCTGACTTTGCTAGGCCTCTTCCTGTGCTGCACAAAACAGGCACCTCGGAACAAACACATTTTATGCTAGAAGCAGATGAACACAGAAGAACAACATGTTCTCCTATGAAGGGGACATAATGAAAGGACATAAAAACGTTGAGAGCATGGGGATGCTTTGCAGTAGCATTTGCCTGATGGTTACTGCGCCAGGTTTTCAGTTGGCATAGATTTGTTTGCTCTGTATTTAACCTGCCTGTGGAGTTCACTGTAAGTGTCCATCTCATTTCATTTTATTTTCAGATGGTAAGATGCATTTTGGATGCCACCTCTGACAGGCTGGAATAGTGATGTGGCATCAGCTGTTACCATGGAGCAACATTAAAAATAAAAGACAGTTATTTAAAAAGTAAATTACTCTGAAATAATTACAAAAATTTGTAGTGTTCTACACTTAAGATGCCCTCACCACTGGTCCTATACCAGTTTTGAAGGTAAATAAAAACTACTCAATGCTTCAGTTCTTGAAGTAGATTGAAATGGCTGTACAGTCTTTATATCCTGGTGACCCTATTCAAGAGATACTGAAGTGCAGAAATGTTTATTAATTGCATTCATCTGCCCTCTGAGATAACTGTAAATTTAGAAGTTACACATATTTTTTTTCACTATGGCTTCTTAGGCTGCAATTAGAACAGCAAACAGTAAAGGGTAAGAAATTTGATTTAGTAAGCTCAGTAGCAAAACTTTCGCTCACCTAAACCAGACCTCAGGGTGACAGATTTGGTGTAATTAACCACCTTAGAAATGGAACATTTTCTCATGGTTGTAAACTATATGGTAATTCCCTGATACTACTACTTTTAATTACACATCTTAACTTTCCTGAAACTAATTTAGATCCTATGTGAAAAAAAGGCCAGAAATTAAATACATAACGTGCACAAAACATTCTACATTCTGAATGTTCTACAAACATTTCCTCTATTACTACAGATGTGTTTTCAAATTCAGTGCTCATCCCAGGCTTAGCATTTCCCTTAAGACTTTGACCTAGATAGTTTCCCAAGCTTTTCTTACATTTAGGAACATGCAAGAAGATACAATTACATTAAGATACATAGATGTATGTTTGCATGTGCAGTGTGTGTGAGTGCACTGGCAAGAGTGAGAATATGGATTTCCTTAGTCTGGCAGTGGTCACCCTCTATGAAGTTCTATGTGGGAAGAGAGAAGGTCAAGAAACCCTCCCTTTGGGGTTTTTCTCCTGGCTGTCTACCTTGATGAGGTACATGCAGGCTACAGAAACATCTGCTGCTACAGGACAGCAGGAGAAAGAGGCAGTCAAGCTGGAGTCCTACCTGCAGAAAACATGCAGAAAGTCTGGTGCACGTCCACCCTGTTTAAAACCGAACTAATCAGAAATACAGTTTTTAGGTTCTGCTTCAGTTTAATTTTATTTTAGATCAGAGATGCAGAATGTCTGTCCATCTGGCCCTTGGGAAACCAAAAACTGGCAGGTAGGCTGAACACCAATCACACTGGAATTTATCCCTCTTGTATGGGGAATATGTCAGATATTCCCATTTTGAGATGGGAAATTTTAGCTATATGTTTTGTAAGATAGTTCAGCAAAATTTCATGTCTAAATTAGTAGATTTATGTGTAATTTGAAAGTATTTTTATTTTTATTAATATTTTGAATATGTCAACAAGGATAATATTTATTTTTTCCTGTTACTATTTTGTCTGAATTACCTCTCAGTAGCTCGTAAAATGGAAGTCCTGCGCTCAACTGGGTATCTCTTCCTTCTTGTGGTAGTACTGCTGTCCTTGGAGCTGGAGTCAGTAGATGAAATTTCTTGGTAGTAGATATCTAAATCTAGCACTTTGCTCAGACTGTCAATAAATAAGAACACTAAGTTAACAGTTTCACTTTCCAATGCTGTATATTTTCAGCATACAAACCCAAGACAGCCAAATATCATTATTCTGTTTATGTGTTGAGGATCTGAGTAAAAATATATAAAGGCACAAAAAATCAGTCTCTGAAGTATGGCTGCTGTACAACATAGATATTGAGATTTTTGAAATGCTAAATACTTTTATATATTCATAAAGGAGACACAACAGAAATTTTTGGGGTTTGCCATTAGACTCAGTGAAGAGGCATTTTTATGGTATAATTATTCTGGTCTATTTTAGATATCTCTTAGAGCAAGAGATGAATAATTTTCCTAAATGTGACTATGTTTTTCTCTGAGTACAAGAAGACAGTGTAAATCAACTAGTTCAGATATGGGTGTCAATAATGCAGATATCTCTTATTTTGTTAGGTGAATGCTATCCAGGGTATTATACATACAGAAAAAAATCAATCCCAACATCCATTTTAGAATGGCTAACGAAAGAAATAATATCCTAAAAAGAAACTGAATAGAGAAGTTCAGAATTCAATCCTCACGTTGTTGGAAACCAGAAGTAATTAATTGATTTCACTTGCCGTGTTCCACTAATACAGAGTCAGCACATGAGAGAAGATGCAGTCAGGGAACTGGTTAACTTGATTTAAGATGAGTGAAACCTAACTGAGGCAAATGAGAGAAAACACTTTTTTCCCCTAGACTGGATTCAATAGGTGTGAAATTTTTTTAGGATCCAAATGACATGAGAAGAAAAGCTGAAAGAGACCAAATGTGAGGGACATGGACATAGGGTCAATCTTTTAAGCTGCGGCATAATCAAGTGCAATTTAAACTGTGCTTGAATAAAGCTCAATGCTGTGAGCATATTTTATATAAATGTAATGTCATGCAACATTCTCTAAGATACATATTTTAGCTGCAGAATTTGTATTCTGCAACAGTTAGTATTGAGCCGAGGACAGTGCAGAGAGCCCGTTCATCTGGCAGCTATGAGCAGGCTGCCACAGCAGTGCCTCAGTATAGAAACACAAATAAAATAAAACTAGGATGTATGTCAGGAGCTGCAAACCAGGTCTGCAGCACACATAAGGATCTAAGATATGGAAGTACAGAATATACCTATTGCTTCCTTATTTTCTGCAGAGATCCATCAAAATAGCCTAGTTACACTGGGAAGAAAACACTTCTGGTTCAAATTTCAAGGGCTACTCTTCTTTAGCTGTTATTTAGTGATTGTTTTAATTTTTTATTATCTATTTTCAGACACTCATATATTTTTAGGATAAAAATTTGACAGTCTTTGTATTTTTGCTGACAAAAAAGAACTGGTTGCCCATTTGCTTTGACTAGAATTTTAAGCACCTTCAATTATTTTCTGTGTCAGAACTATCTTTGATGTGGACCTTATCTTATTATAATGCATGTGTTACCATGGTAAAAGACCATGTTTTAGGAAAACTGAATGGCTGAATTCTAGAATGGATTTTAGTAAATGAAAATTGCATTTTAACTTTGTATACATGTCCCCCTGTGAATCACCAATTTACAATTCTTTTTTCAATGCTTTATTCTCCTGGTTGAAGTACAGCTAAAAACTATTCTAGAGTACTGGAGTGACAATAGTGAAATAATGAAAAAAATTACCTTTCTTTCCTTGGTTTCCGTTTTTCATCTTGTATTGATTTCTAAGAAAATAAAAAGTAATTAAAATACTAAAAGGAAAGCTTATGCAAACATACAATTCATTGGTGTTAAGTAGGAGAAGTTGTATATTTTTCAGTAAAAAAAATGATAAAAAATGAGCAAATATCCCAGAAAATCCTATTTTAAGAACCTTTAAGACTATGAATGAGATTGCCATTGTTGCTCCCAAGTTTGTTGCCATACTGTGAAAAAAAGCCGAAGTAATGATGATCAGAACAGAAAAAGGAGATCTAAAACTTTCAAATAGCTATAGCTGTTTTAATGAAGTTGACAACACTATCTCACTGAGGCAAATTTACTGTGATGCCATGAGAATTTCCATGAGTAGAAGCAATGCAGTAGGAAGAGGCATAATCCTATTCTCATTAATGGCAACATAGTCTTCACACAGGTTTAGTAGAATAAAATGGACAAAGGCCCTATTTGAAAACAATATAATAGTTGACAAAAGAACCTTTAGGATAAAAGATTTCTAAAAATGTAGAGGAGAGAAGATTTATAGGGAATTTGAATAATTTCTTATCTCTAATAGAGTTCTATCCCTACAGCCAAAACAACGCTATGTTGCATCACCTAACACATCATATTTCAAAGGCAGTATTTTTTAGTGCAGATTGTGGTCTTAATTGTGTTTCTTGCAAATGAGTGAATGTGTATTAGAACTAGGGACTGTAAAGTCACTGAGACTCAGAAATCCTGATGGACTTCAGTATGCAGGCAAATGAGCATGGCATATAATTCCAAAATGACAGGCTGATTTAAAGAAATATACCCCAAAATAAAATTCTCATGCCTGATATGAACAGTGGGCTACTGTCAGGCTTCATTTATACCTGTATACCCCTGCAGGTCATCTGATAGGCAAGGAGATGTGTGAGAATGCAAGGTGTCTAATTAATGTCTGTAGCATGATGTGAGAGAAGTACCTGATTTTGCAAAAGATAGAGAATTTGAAAAAAAAAATGCACTCATATTTTGTTTCTTCACATTCATATGATCTGGGCTTGATAATAATCTGTGAATGACCTCTGAAGGTCACAGAGATTTTTAATAAGGTAGAAAATCTGTAATAGCTGGGAAAGCTGACTGCCCTCTAAAGCTGACTGTCATCTAAAGTTAGAGCCTAATGACTTACCCAAGGTCTAAGAATTTAACAACTGGTAGGTCTCCTTTCTAAGCTTCAGTGTATAGATATTTATGTTGAACCTTTCCCTGACCAGTGAATTTCATGTCAGAAAGACATGTTTCTTTTTTTCACACCTTCTTGAAAATATAACTCATCAAAGGTAATATTGATTAATACCTTGAAAAACTGCTGCTAAAAAATTGATTAAAAATCTCCTGGCACTACTGCAGGTTTTGTTTGCACTGATGCCATGGCTGTTTTCTGGTACGGAGCTGGCCACGTAACAAATTAGCTCTCAGAAAATACTGTATTCCTGAAATTATGGTCTTAATTTCCTAAATAGGCATTTACTTCAGAATTGTGCTTCTCAAAAATTTCTGAATACAGATTTTGTCATGCCTTTCAAGTCAGTCCTTTATCTCACCAATCTTGCTTTCACAAAACAAATTTTATTCTTACGTGCAAGTTTATTTTTAAGAATGAAATTTCTTTTCAGAATATCACCGTTCCAAAGCTGTGTTATTTCAAAGTCCCAGAATAAAACATAGCTGTATTTGTATTTTTTTTGGTATGCCAGACACAACCATCCTTACAGGCCCTTGTGACACCTTCTGTTGAAAGGAGAAGCAATTGCTACGGTTAGTTTATTAGCTGGGTTCTTACTGGCTGTTAAAATAGGTCACTAAGATACAGGCACCTCGAGCAAATCAGTTTAATTGCTTTTTTTGTCGGAAGTGCTTTCTGAGCTGCTTTTACATTTTCACTCTTTCTGCTTACCTTCTTGCCTTTTTCCCTATGTTTAAGGGCAGTGAAGTCAAGAGGGGAAAGCAGCACTCAGTATCTGAACTTGGACCAAAGGCTATATATAGCGACACTCAAATCCATTAGTCCCCTGAGCTGTTGGTGTTTGCCAATGCCTTCATAATCACAATCTGACACATTTGTAAAGGAAGTTACAGTGTGCATACTAATACAACTTATTTTAATATTTGCTCTCTCTGCAAGATCAAGTACTAATTTAGATGCTCAAAATAGCTCCAAACAAACCTGTGCCTCTCCTGGTTCTCTCCTGTGACTTACAAAGAAACGACGGAGACAGGGCACTTGATTTGGGTATTGAAAATGCAAATGCCCATAATGAAAGTGTGTTTAGGTACAAAAGTAAATACTAGTCTGACATAGCTCCCCAGTCTGGGTAACTGTACTTCCATTTCAAGTCTCGTTTGAAATTTGAAGTTTGTGGCCTGCCTCCTTTCAGCAGGACACAGGTTTTATGCTGCATTAGAAAAGAATAATGGGAATTGGGCAATGAGAAAGATAGTTTAGGTGGGAATTATCTGACAATTTTAACCCAGAAAAGATTCTTAAACTCACATGTATTAGAGTGTAGTAGGTGGAGTCTTCTGGATTATTTAATGTCTTGGGCTTCCGTGGCCTTCTGGGGGGTCTCTGCATTGGGCGAGAGTCTTCTACTTTGGCCACAACTGTAAAAAAGCAGAAGACAGCAATGCTTATTTCTTCACAGAATTGGAGGCTTTTGGAAAAAAACAGGAGAGAATTTCACGAAACGGAGAAAAAAATCCACATAGTCACTTTTACTTCTTGCAGTAATTCAAGTAAGCAACTGGTTTGGACATTTTCATCAGCAGAGAATGGGTTTATCCATTTGAGTCCTGACTGCCCACAGGGACAAATGCCACATAATGAATGCCAGGCTGGAACAGCCCAGAGGTCTGCCTGGCACAGCCTCTCCTTCTGAAAAGGGCTGATGCTCCACATTCAGAAAAGGGCTTTGAAGGGAAATGGCTACTGTGAGCCTTGTAATGGGGACCTGTGTGGCAGGAGTGATGTTTTTTTCAGACTTGAGTCAATCTTTAAGGTGCTGAATGAGGGAACTAGCATTAGGCCTCTGTTTCAGAGGTTGTCCTCTACATTATCACAGTGAAGATTTTCCTCCAGGTATCCTGCTGAGGCTTTTCATTTCAAGCCAAATCATGTGTCACTGGGCAACACAGCATGACCATGTCCATCACATCCAGTGTAGTCTATGTTAGTGTACTCAAATTCTGGTCTCTATTTCTACAAAAAACTTTTTACAAACTTGAAAAATGCCTTCACTGTAATAGAAATTAAATCAAGATTTTAACACAAAATGTAACTACTGTCCCCTGGCAGTCTCCTAATTCAGAGTTAGACACTGACTTGCAGATTACATTGGCTGGCACATAGAGAACTAGAAAAATATCTTGGGTATTTGCCTGTTGAAAATGTATCTCTGACAGAGCTAAGATACAGAGCTGCTGGGCTCATAGGTAGTTTGTCATAGAGACAACACTGAGTGCAGGGTTTCTGATGCCTAGGAAGACCACAGAACTGGCCCTGGAGGGACAAGAGACCACAAATGTACAGCCTGGTAAGCCTGGTCTCTTTCCCTTCAGCTTCAGCTACAGGAAACATTAATGGCGACAGCAATTCCTTCATGAGGAAGGAGAAGGGGATGCACAGCAGCAGAACACCAATGGCAGAGATGGGTCATGGCTGGTGAATGAAGTCACAGCACAGGGAACAAACAGAGTGTCTAAGGTATCGTACAGTGAGGTTTGATCTTGTCCTAGTCCCATCACAAATATACTAAGGACAGTCCAGGAGAAAAAACGTCTCCTCATTCATAAATGAATATAGTGGGAGGTTGGAACAGGGATCTAGATCCCAGTGAATTACTAAAATGTGTTTTGCTGATACAATCAACTTCCACATGAAGTGACTTTAACACCATTTTGTTCCCCTATGACCATCAAAAACCCTTTTACATGATAGAAATAAAAACTCTCCCATGTACAGCAGACATATTTTTAATTAAGGGTAAGGTAGCACAATAATTTAAAATGAGAAATGATCAGTAATACATCAGTGTTGACTCCTGCAAAATTAGCTGTTTAAGTTTTTTGTTATGTGTGATAAATAAAGTCTTGTAAAGGTCATGGGTATACAGAGAAGCCAGGATGAATAATGTTAATTTAAATTGTAGTCGGATCATAATTACATTTACTGTTTTAGTTTCTTATCTGAAATGCAGACTGCTTCTTCTGTAATGAATGAACAAGTATCTTTTTAACATTTTGCACCTAAGAGAACAATGGTGTTTTTCTAAGCCAGGTTACAGATAATACATGTTAAACAATGAATTCCAGATGCAGTAAATTCATTTCAGTAACCTGTATTAAATAAAAGTGAGATTTCTTGATTTCAATAGGTACAGCAGGCTTGACTGGGCTCTTAATGTGGGTTGTTGCTACCTTGCTGTATTTCAAATGGGCCACCTGGAGTTATCTGACTTTCCATTTGTTTGAGAGAAGAGGCATATCTTCCCTATTTTATTTTTAAACACAATAGGAGTCCAAAGTGGAAACACTACCTTAAAAAATCCCTTAAAATTCAATGCTGTTGAATAGAAGAACCTAACTCTCTGTCTGTAGGACATTCAAAAATTTTGTCAGAGATCATGACTGCATGAAAATCTGAAAAAAGAAATGATGCCAGTTCGGGGGCTCTAGGAAAATCCCAATGAAAAGGCTCTCATTATGCTTTAAGAGTTTTTACTGTCCCCTAAGAATTCATCACTGTGTATGCTGTTACATTATTTAATTCATCAATGTCAAACAGATAAAGCATTATTGTAATTCTAGATTACAATTATTCCAACTGAAATTACTTGTATACTTCTCCTGTGTGTGCTCTGCAAAGAAGACTGCTTTATACATTCAAAAATTACCATTTTGACAATGATAAAGGTTTCAGTAAAAAAAAAAAAGCTTTTCATCTCAGCTCTTGTGTTGTACATATGTGCAAGCTGTGCACAAGAATGGAGGAGAAAGAAATGCCGTGTCGGGGCAGGCAGCCTTCTAAGCTTGGACCTCCATCATTCCTTTTTAAAACTGAATGTAGGACTGAAAATGCATTTCTGAGTTTTGCCTGCAAATTACACAGTAAGGTTTTACTTTCTTTGTTTTACCAGAAAGTGAAGCTATGAGTTCCTTTTGCACTTAGATTTGCACGTTCACTGCTACTGAAATTCAGCAGATGTGGTAGCGACTTGCATGGTAGCTACCATTCCCACAGTAGCTGTTGAAGTGCTTTGGAAGAGCCAGGTTGGCACTACCACCCCAATCCTATTAGAAGGGTAAATAAGACGCACAAAGACACATGGAGACTTCCTTAAGGCTACATCCCAGTTAGTCATTAGCAGAGCTAAGGACTGGAGGGCTGTGCTGAGGCTCCCATCTCTGCTGCCAGCACACACCTTGCTGTTGTATCCACCTGAAGAGGTGCTGTCAGTGCTGGGACACACCCTTTAGGAGCAATGTGTAGGAGAAACTGGAAACTTTGATGTGACACAGACATTCCCTAAAGGTTTATCAGGAGGAAGACAGATTGAATAGCAGGTTGAAATGGGGGGTTTTCCTCCTCAGACTTTCCAAGTGCATTGAGTCAGTAGTTGGTTAGAATAAAAAAAAAAAAAAAAATTAAACCAGTGATGATAATAAAAGTTGAAGTTCTTCTCCATGAGAAAAAATGAAATACAGAGTTAAGGGTTAGGAAAGGCATGTGAACAGTGTGGCTGCCAGATAACATTCAAGAAGGTTTAGTAAATCTAAGAAAAAATTCTTTATTCATAACAGTTTCTCAGCTAGCTCATTTAGCACTACCACAAAGGTTCCTACCTAAGTTGCACACACACTCAATTCTACAACAAATGAATACTTTCATACTCAGCCCTCACTGAAAGCTCCAAATAGGCTGAAATGTGTATACAATATGTATGTGTATCCTGAACACCATCACAAACTACATGAACTGAGGAGAGCTGCATGTGCTTGAAACGTTCAAGGATGAGCAAAAAAATGTTTGAATAAAGATGAGTCAGTATCAACAGCCCTTTAGGTTGAACTGTCTGTACATTCTGACATACAATGATAAGCTTGGAAGACAGCAATCTTGAGGAATCAACATCTGTGGAGCCTAATGTAAATTAACTATGACTTACAACAGATCTCATACTGAAGACTGGAGAAATAGTGGTTACAGCTGTGATAAATATCTAAGGGACCAAAGGTCTCTATTTATTAAGCCACCTGGAGCAACAAAGCCATCTTCACGTCATTTAAGTGAAATGTTACATGCTTGATTTAGAGCTATTCCACATCTTATGGAGACAGAAGTATAAAGCCAGGCTCAGAATTAAGCAGAAAGGAAAACAAAAGGAAAAACAGTAATTGTATAGGTTTTGTAGGGGGAGTTGAAAGTAATCAGTAAAAACAGAAATACAGCAACTGGAATTCCAGGACTTGATAATGAGAAGCTAATAGTTGTTACTGCTTACAACATTTATGTGCATACCTTTTTACAGTTCTAATTGTACACAGCATGAGGATGCAACTACTCAAGTTTGGAATTTGCACTGAGAAAAGAACTGCTTTTCAACATTTTGCTTAGTAACTTTTAGGTATTTTTAATTGATGGGATGTTTAACACAGCCAGATTTGGAAATTACAGCTGATGGCTGCAAATTCTTAGCAATCTGGAAAAAACCAGAGGAATTACTCTGGCACAGACCTAGAAGTAGAAACTGCAAGAGATGGAGAACTTTGAGCTTGGGTACAGCAGAGGTTGGCAGTGTTTGATCTCTCACACCTAAGTCCCACAGCCCCACTGAGGGAAGCAGTTTCAGTCTCTGGCTGACACTAATACAGAATGACAGAATAATAAACATTGGAAAAAACTTCTAAGATCATCAAGTCCAGCCTTGACCACCTTGCCAGGTAGACCATGGCATGAAGTACCATGTCCTGCTGTTTCTTAAGCACCTCCAAGGATGGTGACTCTACTACTTCCCTGGGAAATCAATTCCAGTGCTTAACAACCCTTTTAGTGAAGAAATACCTCCTGATGTCCAGCCTGAACCTCCCTGGTGCAGCTGGAGGCCATATCTTCTTGTCCTGTCTCCAGCTGCCTGGGAGAAGAGCCCAACCCCCTCCCGGCTGCACCCTCCTTTCAGACAGTTGTAGAGAGTGATAAGGTCACCCCTGTGCCTCCTCTTCTCCAGGCTAAATTCCCCCAGCTCCCTCAGCTGCTCCTTATTGGACTTGTGCTCCAGACCCTTCAACAGCTTTGTTGCCCTCCTCTGGACTTGCTCCAGCACCTCTCATTTCTCTGAGTGTGGTGACCTGGGATTACTGCTTTTTAAGAGAGGATATTTAATGGAAATGGCTGTATTCCACTTCCACAATCTCCCAGACCTTGTGCTCTGCCGTGGATCTGAGCAACTCCCAACACAGATCTTCTACATCCTGACTGTGTGGTGCCCAAAGGACCACTCCTGTAGCTTAGAGCCACCAGCCAGCAGCGCTTGCCTACCATTTTTCTCCAGTCCCACATCTCAGGGCTCCCTGGCCGACTACTCACTTGCAAGGAAATTCAGCTGGTGAATACTGCTCTGCTCAGCCAGTGCTATACATGCTCCCTTTCCCTTGCAAAGCCTGCCCATTAAATTCCTGTAAATAGTGCTTTGACAGCCTACAGCAGGAGGAATCCTGGATGAAAACCCTGCTTGTCTCATTGCCTCATTTAGGTGAAAATGTCCTCAGCTGCATCATTCCTCAGGGTTCCTCATATCATGTAAATTTAATTCTAAATATAGAAAATTCTTTTCCTGAGATTTTGTACTTGAGCTGTCATTTAATAAGTAGAGGGATGAGCACTATGATTCATCTGGAAAAAAAAGGAAAAAATTCCCTCCCAAAATGATCAAATTCCCCTCACTTCAGGCTTTGATCTCAAAAAACTTGACAGCAGTCATTTGTGCATCTGTTCTGACACCACAGCAACCCAAGGCTCACTAGCAGTCCAAGGGTGCAGTTCTGGGGTGCAGCCATTACATTTGGCTGAAAGCATGTAAGAAGCAAATATAACCTACTCAGAGATTCTAGCCACAGGGAATTTGGTTTTTTCCAGGAACCTTGTGCGGCTTGCCTTCTGCATTTTATAAAAACAAAGAAACTCATTTAAGAACAACTTAACCTTGTGGACTAAGATTAAATTAACCTTTTGCTCAGATGTTCTTTGAACTGCAAGCTTTGCATTTTTATTAAAAAAAAAACAAACAAGCAAACCATTTAAAAAATGTGACCATTTGTCACAGTATGCCATCAGCTGTCCCCTCAGTTCCTCCCTTCTACGGGTAGCAGATGTAATAAAATATTTTATCAGAGGAAGTGGTAAATTGTGTTACTGCACAATGGCCACCTACCTACAGACAAAGGCAGCCAAGCTCTCCTATCTATTGTATAAAATACAATTCATGTACAATTCATTCTCTAAAACAACATATATAACTAGTGAAGCTGATGAAAAAGTGTAAATAAATGTAAATGACCAGTGTAATTACAAATAGGTAAATGCCATATGATTTAAAGAACACCTAAAGCTCAACAATCCCTGCCTTCATAAGAGTAGGACAGCAAAAGCAGCCATAGAGGGAAAGCTGCAGTAAAAGCATATCCTTCTGTAAATGAGTGTGTATAAATCCTACTGTAACACATAATGTAGGCAAGTAGACAGGAAGGTTCCTGCCTGTTAATAAGGCAGTGGACCACCTCATCTACCTGCTTCACTTTAGTATGACCATATGCAGGACCTTACCTCAAATCTTTGGGGGTTTTGTAGATATTTTACTGTATTCCATAGAGGAAGAAAATATGATATCCAGAATGCTGGTATCTCCTGTGTTTTAGACAGTACAACTTAAATGAACTGAACACAGGCATATTGTTACTTAAATGTTCTCTGCATCTAGTTAGATCATGTCTGCTATAATAAACATCTACTTAAGACAATGCAGCTTTGTGATAAAGCCAGTTTCCAGCTGGCTTAGAGTCAAACTGTGGAATTATTGTCTTCACTATCTTGTGCATTGGTCATAGCTGGAAAAGAAACAGTTTGCCTGTCATGTGAGTTATGTTCAAGTGTAGAAAAAGAAAGTTCACATTCCACACCAAGAAAGGTTTTTCAGTGGACAGGTTAGCACACTTTACCACTGGAAAGCTTCTGCACTGGGACACTGCAGCGTGGCATTTTCAGTGATAAAAGGAAGTGAAGTGGCTGACTGGTCACTCCTGCAGGCAGGGTTGGATGCACAGGTGACAAACCCTGGCAAGCTTTTGTCTCCTGTAAAGCTACTTAAATTAATAGCAGTGTGAAGGGTAGACTTCACTGCATTTTGCACATGGCAGGAACATACTGGTACATTTTCACCTGGTTCACTCGTGCAAGTGATGAGATTTTTAACTGATAAAACAAGGATTTGTATATTCCCTTTCCCTCTATCTACCTCTTTTTTCTAGCTTCTCTTGGAAAATGTGTTAGAACCAAGAGGTATTTTCCTAAGTGTACATTTTTAATTTCTCATGTTTATCTTGTCAAAAAAAAAATCAGCAGTATTTAGTAGAGAACTCAATATAAGACCATTAATGACAATCACAAACCTTGCTCTGTCTTTAATGAAAGGTCATGTCACTTAGTTTTCCATTTCCCATTTCTTTTCTCTTGCAGACTTTAGTCTTGGAAACAGGCAGAACTACACAGATTACCTGCCAGCAGCCGGTTTACACTTAAAGGGGTAAACACCAAGCCCTCATTTTAGCAGCCTGCCCATTTGAGAGGACTCCAAAGCAGGATTGAAGTACTTTTAAGATCGTTTCAATGTAGTCATGGGAACAGAAAGAAGTTTCATCACACATGACAACTGAATCCACAATGTTATAATGAAAATAGCTCAACTAGCCCTGGGCAGTGAGAGACAGTCCTAGATCTTATCCCAACTCTTCCCCAGAGGCAGCGCAGTGAGCTCACACAAGCTCTGCCGCACAAACGGAGACACAGCCAGTTATCTGCCACATCTGCCCTCATCCTCCACATCTGCAGCCCAGGACATGAACTGAGAAAATTCCCTGTTACATCTATTCCAACAGAACAGGTCTGAGCAGCTCAGTCAGTTCTTTGGGGTCCTTTTGGTGGAACTCAGGTCTTAATGATCTGCATGCTCAGAATTCCATGTCCTCTTTATTCTCCCAGTACTCTTCCCAACTGCCACCCAAGCTGCTCCAAGCATGTTGGCATTTTGGGAACCTTCACTGCCCATGTTAACCAGAATATAAATAACTCAGGAGTGTATTTCTAGAGATCACACCCTCTTAAATGTGTGAGTTTAATGGATGCTGAATATTAATAGAACTTTACATGCAATTACAATTCATGCAATACATGCAACATACCCACCAACATAGGTAGGAGCTACAGGTTTTGAATAACCTCAGTTGTATCTGTGGATAGCTAAAAATTCACTCAGCATATATGTCATAAACTTTAGTAAATTGTTTGATATATTACCTAAAAACCTGTTGTGTTTTGAAAGCATAGTCCCATATCATACCAACAGCATACACAGTTGAGAGTTAACTGAGATAACAAGAGCCAATATGGAATTGTACCAAATAAAAGTATTCCTAGAGATTGTGTGTCTAGATTCACTCAGCAATCCTAAGCAGCACTGAAACAAAAGACCAAAAATAAAAGGTAAATACATAAATCCAACCAAGTTTGGGTATTTCTCTGGAAACTGTGTTCCAGACATGTACTGATATGGGGCTTAGTACAAAAATATCCAGCCAGAGTAATATGAGAAGCTGGAATTAACTCATTTACTTGTTCCCTGACATGACCAGGAGAAGCTTCTTGTCAGTCCTGTTTACCAGTGAAAATTCTGCCAACAGTAAGGTTAAACATTACCTGACTGACAAACATGAGAAGAAAGCCGGCCATTAGCTTGCTTATCTTTGGGCATCATCACAGGTCTCAGCTGATGGGACAATATCATTTCATTCAGTTTTTGCTGCAATGCTAAGTAATCCTCAGATAATTTTGATATCTGAAAAATATATTTTTACATTATTATAAGTATACATGTTCCAAGGCAATCAAAGGTAAAATAGTGGACTAGAGTATTAATTTAAAAGGTATTGCTCCACTGATTGTAGTGCACACCCCTACCACATTTACCTCCTCATTTCTTCAAAAAAATGGAGATGGGGAAAAAAAAGACACATAGGAAACTCAACACTGCAGTCCAATCCTACAGCTACTTCTCACTGGTTCACACACGTGGGCAGATAGTGCCTTGCTGATGCAAGACTGCTTGTACAGCTGTAGGTATACATCTCTGCATGTGTGCAAGTCTCTGACATTGGTACAGCAACTTTAGTTTCATTTACAGGGACATTTCACAAGTATATTGAATTGTAGGGACCTTGATGGGTAAACAAATACTTGAAAGGCAAAGCTTCAGAATTTAACTTAAATCAGATTAACATTATTTTTGCCAGTACTCTTTGACTTTTTCTCCTTCCCGAAAGGCTGTTTTCTCTTGCAACCCAAAATATGTATTTTCATAGAACACACATTACAAAATCTCTGTCTTAGTTGAGAGAGCAAAACCTTGGTGCCACAGAAGTCAGTAAAATAACTTTGCCATTCTGTCACTGCTCAGAGTATTATGCTCCACCTACATTACTTACAAGCTTCTTACCTGTCGTGAAAAGGCTGCCAAATCACAAGCCTCTTTCTCTGAGTCTCCCTTCAGTGCCTTAGAGTCTTCAGCCTCTGTACTGGTGCTTTCCCTACCTTTTGTTGTTTGGGGATTGTTATTTTGAACGTGTATTGCTTCTGTTGGCTCCTTTATTGTTTTCTCTTGACTTTTGCAAGGTAGTTTCCCTTCTTTTCTGAGTTGTCCTCTCCTTCTGTAACCCCGGTAATTGCTCTGAATTACCACTGCTGCCTTCTCTTTGTCTTCAGAACCTTGCTTTTCTGCCTCAGCTTGCTTCCATGAGCCTCTTCTTAGTGACTCTTTTCTTGTGATTCCTTTACCTCCTGTAGGCATTGCTGCTTCACGCTTTAGGTAATTTCTTTCCACATCCCTGTCGGTGCTGGGCTGGACCACAGCAGATTCTTGATTTTGCCAGTCTGCACTGAGTGTGTCTTGATTATCTTGCTCTTGCTGGGGTCTAGGTTCAGCTGAGGTTTTGAGAGAAGATTTTCTGGGTAACTCTTCCAAAGAGTCCTGTTCTTCACCTTCACTAACCTCTTCTACTGCCAGGTTCTGCTTCACAGAAGCTGCCTCTCCTTCACTAGATGTTTGCTGTTGCTCCCCTCCATTCCTGTACCTGGAGCACTTGCTGTCAGCGACAGCACCAGGTTCATCTTGAGTCTCCTCACTTGCCACTTCTTCCAGTGTATCATTTTGAGCTGGCTGCAGTTGTGCTTCAAGGAATTCCACAGCAGATAGTTCATCCTCTGCTATGGCAGCTGCTTCTTCTTCTGTTCTAGGGAGGGCACCTTCCACTTCAGCTGGACTTTCCTCAGGACCTTGAAGTTCTTCATCATTTTCCTTCTTGCTAATGGTTGCTGCATTTTCGATTTCTTGCTTTCTAAGCGATTCCCTGAATGGAACAGAGTTTTGGGCAAAAATTACAGCTGAAGGAGATGAAGAATAGAGACAACTTTACAACTACCTTTGGTGGTCTTTGTGTACTAACCAGCAATTTGATACATTGCAACATGGGAAAGATTTAATGCATATAGCTGAAAGTAAAGATGGGCAATTTCTGTTGTTATTATCATTATTATTATTTTATCTCTTAAAGTAAAAAGGGATAATATTATTATCATCAACATCATCATCTCTTAAGTTAAAAGATTGCCAGGAAGAAAATCTAGGTTGTGTGACAGCTGATAAAACAATAAAGAATTAATTTAAATGTTAACAAAAACATAAGGCATAAACCTCTTAGCATTTAAACAATATATATATACACAATCCTAAAGGTATTCTGTATTTCCTCTGTCATCACCTTTGCTTATCTTGAACAGTGACTTCAAATGAGAACAGTTCCTTGCAGATATCTGTCTCATTCTTGTCTGAACATTTTTTTATTATGTGCTAATTCCAAAAAGAGACTCATCTATAGGTTACATTAGCATTACAGGTAGGTACAGTATTATTGCTCTTTCTCCTAAATCTGCCTTTATTCCTTGGGCTTGAAAAGATAAGAAAATTGGCTACTGCCATAAAAAAACCTTCACATAAATATACATTACTTCTGTATACATATCTAGAATAATCCTAATTTTCTTCACTCTTATATTATAATGTTGTTATTCAGTGCTGTAATTACTGGAAAGGGAAACATTTGAGTGACATAAGAGAAAATAACACTACCTCCTGCTTTTGAAGACCTTCCTCTCCTTATATCCCCTGTAGTGAGACTGAATTGTTATTGCTGCTTTGTTTCTTGTTTCAGTTAGTTCTTTCCTCTTCTTCCTGAGTAAGTATCCTCTGGCAACTGACACAAATTGTAATGCAAAACAACCTTAGGCAACAAGCAATGGGTGCCACACACATTTCAGACAGTCAAATACTAACAGCATTAAACAAAAGCTAATGAGGAAATACAGACCAGTATGTCTATTATGATTATGTTTCATCTGAAATGATTCCCATAAAACCTTTTTGAGAATTCAGAAAGCTGTACTCATTCTACATGAGGATACAAACAAGCTCTTTCTTCATATTTTGTTGGACTAAAGAAAATATAGGAAGATGCAGAATAAAACAGAAGCACAGAGCGATACAAGTGCCTCTAGAACACAGTACTCTGAGCTTAATGTACCTGCTTTGCCTGATTCAGGCAATTGATTTGACTCTATCTTTCATTTCCATGGGAAATGCCTGATTATCAGCCTATAGAGATTACCAGGCTGTCAACTGGCACAGGCATGGAATTAGCTGAACATTCAATAGATCAGAGAGAAACAGAGAATTTTATAGCTCAGCAGTTACAGAAGACTTAGCTCATGCTCCTTCTGCAAAGACTGATTATTCAAAATGAAAATGCTCAGCATGAAAGATGTGCTAAACTCCCCAGTAACCAGGTGCACTGTGGCAGAGAAACTCCCTGCCTGTGCCTTGTGGGGGGCACAAGGTTAATTTTCCGGTCTGAACCAGAAATAAGGACTCAAACATGGGCCTTCCCTGGGCCACGTAGCTGCTGACAGATCACTGGGGCCTTGATGCAGTTGCCAGCACATTGGTATCTGGTGCCATCTGAAGTGCTCCAGGACAGCAAAGCATCCACATGGAGCTGGCAGAAAGAACAGGACAGATGGGACTTTCTGGATAGGAAAAGTTGGGTATACCAGGTGAAAGAAAGCTGGAGGCCAGACCAGATAACCAGGGCATCTCGAATGACACTAGATACCAGTATGAGGGCAAATGAGCTGAGAATTTGCTGATTTTGAATAAAATTATTCAAACCCTAGGCTCTACTGACTATAATAGCAGTTTAGACACCCATATCCCATTTAGATATTACACTGAAGTGTCCTAATCAGAAACTGAATTGCATTCAGAATCTTGCTTCAAAAACTTTTGAACTTGCAAATAATTTCCTAATGGGAGCTGTCACAGTCTCCACAGTGCTGTGGTTTGGACAAATCTGCAGTTCCAGGAGATCAGCACAAATCTGCTAATCTCTGGCAAAATAAAAACAACATAATGTTTTGTAAAAATATTTCTGTTGAACTCTAATTCCAAATGCAGTACCAAGAGTATGGGGATAGTGGATTCAGGTGACTTGAATACCCTGTGGACGTGGTATATATGGGACTCTTTCTTCAACTCTGCTGAGAGTGTTTTGCATCACAGTGAAAAGGTCAAGCTCACTTGAAAATAAGAAGGGAGCATTAGCAGTCTGTTCCAACACATTCATATAACTTAGTGCTAAGTTTTATGTGCTTTAGCATTCCCCACTCATAACTTAGACCAACTTAGGCTCCACTAGGTGCAGTCAATCAATGCAAGAAGCACCATATAAAATGGGCATAAATCACACCTTGATAACTGGATATAGGATAAAGAAACACAAATACTTATTGGAAGTAGCACAATTGGATTTTATATTGCAATCTGACAGTCTTAGATAAGTGGAAATTGTAAAGCACTTGGAATAGTTCTTGAGTTTCTTGAGCTTCTGAGACAATTCTCTTTCTATTTCCATATAAAAGCAATTCAACAGGAGTAGTTTTGAAACAAATCAAGTTATCAATAGGCATGGCAATATAAGCTGCATCTGGTCTTTTTAGACTATTCTGGTTCACTTTTGAGGTTTTCTGAGAAGTTTGTAACAATATAGTTACTGTCTAAGAATTGTTTTCAAACTGGAAGAGGAATTTTGTATTGCTTTAGAAATAAATGGGGGGAAATGGAGACAGCTAAGTAAAAAAGGACTTTTGTCTGGAGTTTTGGCTTCTTGTGCACTGAAAAATTCGAAATGCAACTGCAGACATGACAGAGAAGGACAAAAAGAAACATTCGGGACATTAACAGAATGAAGTGGTAAGTTTATACTTTCACATTTGCTAAATATCCTAATATAATTGGCTGTGTTCAGATGTGTAACACTTTTTGGCACATTACTGGATGTTATGCTGGTTTTAGATTGTTTTCTACACTGAAGTTCTGCCAACTGCAGTGACGTGATCTTCAGTACACACTGGTCCAGTGCAATTAACAAATGCATCTGACAATGATTAAAACCAAAACTGGTGGTGGTATATACTCATGAAGGCATATCTGAGGTTGTTTAAATCTAGATAGCCTGGGTACTGGCAGCACTAGCTTATATTTGGGTTGCCACCTTTGTAATTATTAAAAATACTGTGCAGATTTGTGCCAGCTGTTTTTATAGAATCATAAAATCACAGAATGGTTTGGGTTGGAAGGGATTCTAAAGATCATCTAGTTCCAGCCCTGCTGCCATTGCAGAGACACCGTCCACTAGATAAGGTTGCTCAGAGTCCCATCCAACCTGGCCTTCACTCCTGTATCACTGCAGCTGTACTGCTCCTGATTTCAGAGCTGCCTAGACTGTGTCTAGCTTGGGGATGTCTCTGCAGGGACAGGGGAAACCAAAGCAGGGAGGAAAAAGGAGTGTCCCACAGCAAAACCTGGGCCCAGGGTCATTATGTATGCAAAAGAGAAAAAAAGCGATGGCAAAAAAGAAGAAGAGACATGAGTGAATTTACAGCTTGCAGTCTTCCCAAATATAACCATCACTAATACACAACAAATCCAATTCCTAACTGAGCAGCAATACACACATGATATGCAGACAGTGTTGTGTGAGATTCAACAACACCCATAGCTGGGCACCTGTAGTACTCAGACTAGGAGTGACAAGGCTCGCTATGGCACTTGAACATCCCTCTTCATAGCAGTGGAAAATGCCTAAGACACTCTGAGGTACAGGTAACAGAATAGAGTCACCCATTTCAGCCATATAGACATATAATAGATAAGTTATACCTCAGAACATGCAAATGAGCATTGTCAATCAGTGTAGTGAGAATCTGGGTCAACATACTGTGTACGGATAACACATTAAAAGCCAAGAAAGCAAACAATTCTTACTTGCTTGAAATTTGGTCATATATTCTTCCACTTTTTTATTATGCTTTGCATTTTTGTATTCTTTACGAGCAACAAACCCCCTGTAAGCTGAAAAGAGATGTTAAAAAGTAGGTAATCCACTAGGTACAAAAAAGAATAAAAATATTCTTGAATTACAGACCTCTATTAAAATGTTCATAAATGTTTTGCAGGCTTTATGTTTCAAAAAACATGGCAAACAAGCACAAATAGTAAATCTACATAAAAATACATTTTCTGGTTAATAAAGTTATTATGAAATAAATGAATATAAAACACAAGATAATCAGAATGTAAAATAAGATTATGTTTGAAAGTATTAAAAAAATCCATTGATGCCTCCATCAACAGGGTAATTTGCCGTATTATCTAGGACAGTTAATATATTTTGTTTTCATTATTACATTATACAATCTTGTCAGTGCATGCCAGAATATTATTAATACGAGTATCATCTGTGCAATCACATCCTTCCATTCTTAAAATTGCCTTTTAAATATAACACTGATAAATGTCATTTCAGTAAAGAGATTGCCATAACCTGGTTAAAAGAAATTTTTTTTCATAAGAACAGATATGACCAAGTATAAGATATTTTGTCAAATGTAACAGTAGGAAAAGAGCAAAATCCACATCCAGCATGCACATTCATCTATCAACTGTACACATGCACCAGGTTTAAGCAAAATGTTAAATGTTTTAAAGCTATTACCTGACTGTATTTTAATAGCACTTTGTTCCCTTTGTTCCTTTATCTTTTTGTATCTCCTCGAACCTAGCCACCCTCTGACATAAGCTTGAATCAAAATAATCATGTCAACTGTCTCCTTCCGCATTAAATTCAGCTGCTCCACATGATAGTATTTGAGGAATACCTTAAAAAGAGAAACAAACAAAAGTTTTAGTTACTTTCCCAGTCCTTTATTTACTCAATCCATTTGACATCAGCAAGAGTTACAAGTTGGTTTCAAATGATGAACAGACCCTTCAGTTGTAGGACCTAAAGGATAATTCTTAGAGATAAAATTTTCATTGTTTGGGATATTAGTTTACCTAACTCTTCTCTTCAGCATCTTTAGTCAGTCCCTGCTTATTAATTTTTTATAGCAAGATTTTTTAAAGTTCCAGTGCAAACCTTCAGTCTGTAACTATAAATCTCTTTTCAAAACTACAAGGCTGACAGTTTTGTTAACCTCACAAATCTAATGTACGTTACATAAACATGATCCAAATCTGGAACCTTCAATTTCTCCATTTCCCAGTTTTAAACCTAAAGCATAGTTTATTTACTAAATTGTTTTTATCAAGCATGAAACTCATATAAGCCCTGAAAAATGAATCCAGCACAAGGGTTGCCAACACATTCCTGGTGTATATTAAGGACTTTGCTTTTTAAAAGAGTAGAGACCAAGAGCTACTCCAACCAAATGGGTGAGAAAACAAATTGTTTAATATGTTAACAATGGCATACTGGAATGAAGAAGATACAGTATATTAAAAAATTACTTTAGTTTTTCCAAGAACCCAGTTGTCAAGGTGGGCTTTTTCCAAGATGGCAGCACAGGTCTCCGGGCTGACTGGAGGATCATCATTTGTTTTGTAACAGATGAGGTAATACCTAAAGACAAATGCATGATTCTTTATTTGATTAATGGAGGATAATACATGCAAATACATTTAAACCATTCTTTTAAAGTAATAAAAACAATTGCATGAAAGAAAACATAGCACTGAAAAAACCAAAACAGCATATGAAAAAAGTGCAGTTATTTATATACAGTACTAAGAAACTCAATCAAAAGTGGATGAGTGACATATTGCACACCCTGGAGGGTTTTTTAATTCTATACCAACACCAGAAGGTCTTTAAAAAGAATTCAACCCAAGTAGAATAGTGCACCATTTCTTTCCTGCTCACTACATTCTGTGAAAGTGATTTCAGTGGCAATATAAAAATAAATTTAAAATATTTTAACAGTTTTTCTGCCTCAATTATATTATTTCATATTTAGAAATGTCACGAAAATTTCCTATCTTGTCTCATGTGATAGACCATCTACCTTTGAGATACTTAATATCTCAATAGATGCTGAGATTCATCCCAGCTCTTGTTAGCTCCTTGGAATCAGTTTTTCAGATCCTTTTGGAACATGTAAGTGCCATTGTGACACATCATCTGTAAGCACTTAATCTGGTAAAACTCATTACTCAGAATTAATTCTGACTAGGAAAAGAGGTCACGATGCTCACTCATAAAAATTACCTATGATACACCAGCTCAGCTGCTGGATAGAAAATACTTGTTTGTTCCAGGACTTTCCAAAATGCTCTATAACAAAATGAACCATATCTATCTTGGCTTTTTAATTTAAGAAAATTATATTAATTATGTGTGCTTCCTGACAGTACATTCTGGGTTTTTTCTTGTTATTCAGCCTTTAAACACAAAGCCTGGGTTCACCAGCTTTGAATGATGGTAACAGTTTGCTCATGGAATAATAAAAAAAGAGACAATGCTGATTTTTTCATTATCACCTACAGTTCCCCTTTTTTTTCCTTTTTGTAAAACACAATGAATTGGCTTATTTTTATTACAACCAAACAATGATGTCATTATCTCAGGTCTACCTGTAACTCTCAACTATTAAAAAACTCCAAACCCAAAATAAGACATACATTTAAAAAAAATTCTTTTTCCTTTGAGGGCCACGTCCTCAGTGCCAGGGATCTGCACAGCCTCACTGTAATCAGGGGTACAGTCTCTAGAGAGCTACCCCATTATGTTTACTGCTTTCATCTATGTTACTTGAACAGTTAAGTTTGGTTGTTTCTTTTTTAAATAAAAATCTGTTGCCAAAAGCTACAGCACATCTTGTAGTGATAAGTATCTCTTTCCATGCTGCACTCTTCTAAAAGCTGCATTCTTCCAAAACAGCAACAGTTCCAGGATTATTTTTCCAGAAACAGGGCTTTAAAAACATCCCTTTGCTGTTCCCCTCTCATCCAATGAACCTGCAGCACTCTGCTACTAGCTCTCACTTTCTAGTGCACTATTTCTTTTAAGTGCTTCTGTCCAAAGAGGTGATGCTTGCTTCTTCCCAGTTTTGATCTCCATTCCACACAAATTTGTTCTGATTGAGACAAATGCTCAGGGTCTTTATTTTCAAGAGAGAAGTACAGATTTTTGGGGTGGAGGAAGAAGGTAGCTAAAGGAATAATGCAATCACACTGAGTTCATTGCTCTGCTTCTTAACAGAAGTGACTAATACTTACAAATTATATTTTAAACAACACTATGTACTCAATGAACTTTTCAGCCCTAGACTAGGAATCCCAAATCATCATCTACCCTTGCACAAGCAGATGTTGCACAGTGCTGAAGCTTGGGAGCTGGAGAAACTGTGGTATTCCTTGGGTGCTGTGGCTGCAAATTCTTGGCTTTTTTTGAAGTAATGCATTTCTAATACTCAAGTCCTTGAAGCCTGAAAAACCATTCTGTGATTCATCGTCTTCCCATACCCATCAAAAACAGGTTACTAATCCTGTTCCTGAACTACTCTTGGTCATTCAGTCTATAACCTTCTTTGTCACAGGAAGTGTCCTTGTATTTTTTTTCTAAAACCATACCAAAAACAATGCTGGTGCTTAACAAGCCCTGGATGGCAATTGTGGGAGAGAAAAGAGCTTCTTCATGTCAATGTTACCGTTTTATGAAGTTAGCGAAGAGTATACGATGTGAATAACCCTGTCTTCGAATCCGTGCTGTCTCCAGAATTCCCGTGTAACGCAGCTGAACCAACACTTTTTCTTTGTCAAACTTGTTTGCCTGCCGGTCGTTGTTTGGCTTGATGCACCTGACAAAATGGGGCTGGCCAACAACCATTTTGGATAACAAATCCATCAGAGAATACTGCAAAAAAGTAACAAGAGATCTGTCACGAGGATACTTATCAAACTGGTATATAGGTCCATGTGTAGCTGAAATTTTATTTCATATGATCAGAATCATGTCCAAAACCATTTACATGTCATTAAGCTGATACTTTAAGAGTAGATGACCCCCAAAAAATTCTAGCTTTTCTAAGCTACTAGTTTAAAATACTTGTGAGAAACACTGATTCCAAATAAATGTACCAAACTTCATTCAGGACATTCTCACAGATTTCCATATGGAAATCATATATGTCCACCATATGACAGAACACTTACACTCCTTACATTTACTTGCTTATCTTGGAGCTTTGCTAGGTAATTACAGCCATTTTTCTTTTTATTGTTGTCACCTATTTAAAGACCCTTGTTCTCCCAGAGAGTTAATCATCCATCTACGGATGGGAAGTGGAACAGCAGCAAGCCAGTAAATATTTGAATTCCTTCACTAGGCTGGAGGAAACGAAGGCTACCCCAGAAGAAGGGCTGGTTGAACTGCTCTGATCTTGGTGTGTCCTGTTTATTGCACAGACTGATGGTGATACTATAACTGCCCTGCCAAGAGGAAACTTCCAAGGAGGGCAAAGCTAGAAGATCACAATTCCAAAGCTGCATTTTTCCCATCTCACCAGAGTACCAGGCTAGCAGAGGGGATGCCAGCTGAGGGGAATCTGACCACAAACAACCTTGACTGGTGTTTTGAAAAATTGCTTCATGGGAGGATCTTATTAAAACACAAATGAAGAGGCTCAAGATTCAACCTGACTCAACAGAAAGAGGCAGCCAGGAGGTAATGCAGCTCAGCAGTAGGCTGGTTACATGAAACCAGGGTAGGACGTCAAGAGCCATATGTTTCCTATTAAAATGTGCAATTCCCTTCTGGACAGAAGCTGCACCATACAGCAAAGTGCTTAATTAGCTCCATCACCAGTGTGCCAACTGAACGCAAACAAGTAGGACACACTAATGGATATCTTTTTTTCAATGCAGTCTGAGGTGGCATATGCTTTTCTCAGTCACCCATAGATTTCTGTGTATGAGTAAACCAGTGGGGCTGAAGGTGGATTTTCAGTTAAGAGCATTAGCTATCATGATCTGAGCAAGGATGTCCACAGCAGAAAATAGTATCAGAAAAGTGTAAACATACTTAACTCATGTGCAGCCTCTGATGCTAGAAGTGCTGATAATGCACTGAATCATAGACGTTAATTTGAATGAAATTCAATATTTTTTTCCATCTAGAATATTCGAACAGTATATAGCTTTGGACCACTGTGGTACCTAAACTGAAATTATCCTTCACAGTCCATAAAGCTGTGTATCTAAAAAAGAGAGATCTGGCTCCTCATTGTTCTGACATAGATGTAAGTAAACTCCTACAGGTCATAAAATCATAAATATATTGACTTGGAAGGAACTCATCAGGATCATCAAGTCCAACTCCTGGCCCTGTGCAGGACACCCCAAGAATCACACCATGTGCCAGAGAGTATTGTGCAAATGCTCCTGGAACTCTGCCAGGCTGGTGCTGTGACCATTTCCTTGGAGAGCCAGTTCCAGGGCCCAGCTATTCTCTAGGTGAAGAACTTTTTCCTAATATCCAACATAAACCTCCCCTGATTCAGCTTCGTGTCCTTCCCTTATGTCCTGTCACTGGTCACGAGGGTGAAGAGATCAGTGTTTGCCCTTCCTCTTCCCCTCATGAGGATGTTGAAGGTCACAATGAGGTTTCCCCTCAGCCTCCCCTTCTCCAGGCTGGACAGACCAAGTGACTTCAGCTGCCTCTCATATGGCTCCCCTCCAGATCCTTCACCTTCCTCATGGCCCTCCTGTGGACACTCTCTAACAGTTTAATCTCTTTCTTATATTGTGGCACCCAGAACTGCCCCCAGCACTCGAGGTGAGGCTGCCCCAGCTCAGAGCAGAGCAGGACAATCCCCTCCCTTGCCCTGCTGGCCATGCTGTGCCTGATGCCCCCCAGGACAGGGCTGGCCTTCCTGGCTGCCGGGTCACTGCTGGCTCAGGTTCAACTTGCCACGGAGCAGGACCTCCAGGATCCTTTCTGTAGCACTGCTCTCCAGGCTCTCATTGCCCAGTCCCTACACACAACCAGGGCTGCCTCATCCCAGGTGCAGAATTTGGCCATTGTCTTTCTGAATTGTCATATGGTTGGTGATTGCCCATCTCTCTGATTTGTTGAGGTCTCTCTGCAGGGCCTCTCTGCTTTCAAGAAGCTGACAGCTCACCCCAGGTGCAGAATTTGGCCAGTGTCTTTCTGAATTGTCATATGGTTGGTGATTGCCCATCTCTCTGATTTGTTGAGGTCTCTCTGCAGGGCCTCTCTGCTTTCAAGAAGCTGACAGCTCATCTCAATTTAGTGTCATCAGCAAACTTGGTATTCCTTTGAGCTGTGTGCTGAATTCATAATGAACATTCCTTCACTTCATGGTTTGCTGGGAGAGATAACTAAACAAGAGTTGGAAATTCAGAGCAGAACCAACTCTGTGCACCACTTCAGATGCTCTTCACTGCTATTTGCTGTTTTAGTACCAGCAGCACAGCCAGTGCTTGGGAAGGTCCAGAGCACCGCTGAAGGAGCCACAAGGATGAACCCTGGGCAGGCTCTGTCCAGTGACCATCAAGAACTTTCTCTGGAGCTCCTGCTTACAATTAACTTTGCCTTCTTTCTTAAACTCTTAAGGAAATGCTATACCACTAATATCTCCCTTTATCTTCTTTGCTGGAAAAACAAGCAAGTGAAAGATTAATATTGATCGTCATACATCATGATGACAGCAATGTGGCTGTGTAATCAAGTACAGTTAAAGATGAAACATTACAATCTCCTCGAGACATAGACATTTGTACTGCACAGACTGCTGCACCATATATGCAGTTCACAAACTCTAAATAGATCACTACTGATTCTAACTCAACAGGTGCATTTCAAAAAGTAAAAGAATAAACATTTTTTGTACTCTAGAAATATGTATTAAAAGATCTGACATCTTACTCTAAAATAAGAAGCAACTGTCTGTGTTTTCATGCTGGTTGTTTCTCTTGGATGATGTCCAGTATCTCCTGCTTCATTCTATAAAGTTGAAGAAAAAAAATTACACTTTTTATCTAGTTTATCTGCAGTGCCCTTTCCAATGCCCCAAGAAAGCACCCCTCAGAGAACATAAATAATTTTAAAAGTATTCTAAACAGCAGAAGTTACAGCATGATCACTAGCACAAATCAGTTACACCAACACTTTGCTACAGAATATACGAACATTCACACACACAAAGGGCACAAGTTGGTAACAGAGCATCTAATAACTGCCACAAATAACTGGACAATGTCTGAGGTCCTGTTTGTTATTTCATCATCACTGTTAATTTGATAGTTTTCTAAGGAACGTAGCTATACTCCACAACAATATTTTAATTCCTCTTTTTGCTACAATACAGCTGCGAAATAGTATTTTTTTCCCCCTAAAGTCGTTATAAAACTATAGCCAGAAAGAAGGGAAATGTTAGGTTTTTACCTCACGGAAGGAATATGAATTGCACAACACAAAGATATCCAGCTAAACAGAAAAGAAAATGGAAGAGGGAGAAAAACCAAGGCAGGGGTTACTCGCTTACTTTCAATACCAAAACAGCTACTGCCTTTGTAGTTTAAATTAGGCTTCATTGCAGAATCACAAAATCAGTTTTCTTACCTTTGTATGACTGATTGATTTTTGGGAGGTCCACATTTGATAACTGATTGTAGTTTTGCTTTTGGTGTGTGCCAGGTTACCTACAGGAAGATGAAAGAAAGTAACCTACCAAAGTGCTTACACTTCATCTAAAAAAAGAATGATCCTGAACCACCTTATTCATGCCTCCAGTGTAACCATATGATTACAAAGGTCATTGACTTTTTCAGAGTGTGTCCTCATTTCCCCTTTAACCCTTGGGATGGAATGAGCTCTGAAGAAGTTGCATAAACACAGAACGTGACATTTTTTCTCCTTCAACTCATATGTCATCTACTAGATAAAAAAATAAACAAACAGACTGCTGTAGAAGGTAAGCTAGATACATCTTAGAGCATCCATGTGGTTTTACCCTAAGAATGTTAGTGTACTATTCTAGTTCTAATGCTACATATTAGTTTAAAAAAAAAAAGGTGCTAATACCCTTCTCTGGCCCTGAGGAAAAGTGATGTGGCATGACTCAAGTTTATACACCTAAATTCTACTCTTCACTACTCTTTCAACCCCTGGTAAAAATAAGGTTGTATCTTTCCACGAACTTGCTGGAAACCATCACTGGCCTGTCCTTTCTCTGAAGTAGGGCTGGGTATTCCTGGGTGGCTACTAGCTGACATGGACCAAAACTGTCCCAGGGAGGCATTCTAACCATTAATCAGAATGAGCAGCCCTGTGGGAATGTTTCAGCTACTGTTCACTGGCTGTGTTTGGTTTACTAGCACAGACAAAGTCTTAAGGCTCTAACTCTGGAATTCTAAGCCAAGCAATACCTTCATTACGATGACTTTGAAGGACTAGGTGCATTGACATGCTTTACACAGACACTGGTCTTTTCAAGGAATAATGAACATTCTGCTGAGCTTTCCATCATATCTCTCTGTGTTGATAAACTCTAAACATTGCTACATGCTGCCACTGCTTCTGCTAATAACATAACACCTCTGGGATCTCCCTCTCCTCTGGGAGAGCCTGTATCTCTCAGTGCTCAGCTACTATCAGGAAGAGGTGGATAAGAGTTGGAATAACAGCTGCAAATATGTGTCATGGTAATGCATCTGGTATTATGTGATGATATCAAGGCCTAAACCTCCCTGGGGTTCAGCTGAATATCACAGGGTGGGAAGGAAAAAGAGAGGATTACTCACAGCTAACTTTAGCTATCTGAAATGAGGTGTCTACCGGATCCCTGCTGTATTCAGTGGAGAGAGACACCTTCAGAGATTTTTCCCATCCCAAGAGAAACACACCTGAGATAGGCAAGATGGGTTGTACTTTGGGTAATTCTCTAAAATTACTCTGATTCTAGATAAATAACATGGATCAAAACCCTAACTTTTAGTTGGCTATAGCTGGAAGGTTTGAGTCAGTTTTGAAATGCTACACGCAGTGTTTTACAATATTTAACAAGAAGACTAAAACAACCATCAGAGATATCTTGCAAAACACGAAGACTTGGGATCAGTTGTTGGAACCATTTGGATGCTTGCTTGGACTCTATGGAAATTATAGTTTAGTATATTAGCAGATATCAACAAGTCAAAAAGTTCAGGCAAGGGCATTGAGCTCTGCGCTTTCCCATGAACACTCACTTAAAATAAAATTCCAAGACCAAATTTTACATTCTAATAGCAAAGCTCCCTTTGTAAAGAACAGAAGCCTTGCCAAAACCTCAGCTTCTGTAAGTTATGATAACATTTTCATTTCCATTAGGTTCTTCCAATTTAGCTTTTCTATTCTGCTAGAAATATGTCTCCCATGTAATTGTACAAGAAAGTAATGTTGTAAAGTACTTACTGTATGGCATCAATGCCCTCACACAGGGAGTACTACAACACAATAACAAACTGGTTGTAAGGAGAATTACCCGTCATCCTGCAGGACAGTGGAAGGCAGGACACTTTGCAAGGACATAGTTCAAACGAGCTGCAATTTAGGAGTAATTTCTGTAGAGCCAGTTTTATTCCTCCACCTCTACTTACAAATTTCTTCAGGAAGAGCTTATTACAAGGACCCCATCAGTTACCTGTTGTAAAGAACTCTAAGACTGAAAATAGAGGAGTGTCTTCTCAGTCTTTGCAGCAGATGTTAGGAGCCCCAACCTTTGTTCTCTACCACCTAGAGATAAATTGCACTGCAGCAATTTATACATGCCCTGTCCAAAACAGTGACTTACCTGATCCTTCCTGTTCAGTCCCCAGCTCAAGAGATGCACTCCACTCCCTGTCTTGATCCCCTACCCTGAAGACAGGACCCTGAAAGAAGTTTCTACCACTTCCTTACCACTTGACCAGACAAATATCTCCCCTGCAGCTTGAGATGGCTGCAGCTCCATTCCGTATAGATTCCATGGTTGGAAAATGAAGCCACAAAGTGTATAACGTCATCAATCAGTTGTTATATGAAACTTTGCAGTGGTCATCACAAAGGCTGGAGAAAACTCAGAAGATCACCACAAAGCAATACCTGTTTTTGTGAGAGGGTGAGTTACCAGCTGTCGCGTCAGGTTGTTTTCAGATGATCGCAGCAGCAGCACAATATCAGCTGGCAGAGTATCTCTATTTTTGGCTAGGAATCCACTTGCATTATACAGAACCTGTTTAAAAAATGCATTTATATATCTTCTTGGACTTTGAAAATTAATTGTAAATTTAAGCTTTCTGGAATAGGGTTTTTACTTTAACAAGATACACAAATAGTTTTTCAGCCACCAGGCTCACTCTCACTTCTACTCTTCTTTTTTGATCACTGAAAGTTCTACCTTTTCAGTACTGAGATATGATTCAAATCACTAAAAGCAAATCTATAATTCCAAAGTAGCTTGAGACATTTATTTTTTCTAATGCAGCTAGTAGTTTTAACCAGTGTGGACCTATCACCAGGACAAGCGTATTGCAGTCTACCTTTACAGCTGTACAAGTGCTAGTGCACAATTAACCATGCACTTGATTTCAACCACATCACACAGGATTACCTATATGACTGTACAGTCTTTCTGTGCTATTCATATTATGCTGTACTGGACCCAGGACTTCCTAGGGATCTCTGTATTAATTGTAGAGGAAGTTTGCAGAATCACAAACTGCATATTGGCAACTGAAATCTCTCTAAAATCTCTCTAAAAATTCCAAGAATGGTGTACCTAAATCAAAATGTAGCTTCAGGGTTCTATCTTGATGGTCTAGAGATTCACAAGAAAACTTGACCTGTCAGGAAGGGTAGAAGATACTGGGACATATAATTTAGAAAAACCCATTACAGAACAACTCAGCAACAGTCTTAAATGATTAAAAAGACATGTAGAAGAAGAGGAAATAAATTTCTCTCCAGTTCCACAGTAAGCTGGACTAGGGGTAATGAATTTACATGGCAGCAGTAGAGACATAAGTGGGACAGCAGAAGAAACTTCTAATGAAAGAATTTTTCGAACACTGATGGGGCACTGGTGTAATTCCCCATCTTCAGTGGCTGGTAACAAGAATGGTAGAGGGAGACCTGGCTTTCCACTCCTTGCAGTGAGTTATGCTATGCTGGTGAAATGCAACTCAGCTGGAGAGGAGGTTCAGAGGAGTTACAAGAGGCTCTTTGTAGCTGGCTGTCTTACACAAGGGGTAAGGTATTTTCCATCAGCTGATGGGCAGTATTTGTCTCCTCCCAGGCCAGCTGCTCCAGCACTGCACAGACCCAACATGGTTTCCCATGTGAGACATCAGTGCTCACTCTGTACCCTTTAGAAGAGCTCAGAGGGAGGTGGGAGCTCCTGCTTTCCCAAGGCAGGTTCAGGTGACCAGTGCCCTGCTGCTGCAGTGCAACAGCAGCTCCTCCTGTGTTTGCACTGCACCTGCAGCCAATCACCTAGGGAGGGAGGGAGGGAGGGAAGGATGCTGCTCACTGCAGGAAGCAGGGCCTGCACTCTCTGTCTGGCTGATGACAGAGAACAGAACTTAGAAAGGCTTATGGTGTGTAGGAGGCAGTAGAAAGAATGGAGCTGGGTCCTGGTTAGAAACAGTGGCAACAAGCGTGGTGCAGGACTTTGAGGATCTAAGGTGAAGAGCACTGAGTTGCATTACATACCAGTTATGTTTTGGGTCTTCTATAATACAGTCAGTTCATTTACCTGGCGACATTTAAGAGAAATACACTCCTGGTATTGTTTTTTTTTTTTTTTTTGGTTTTTTTTTTTTTTAATGAGGGTAATAACTTTTCAATTTATTTTTGATATGTAAGGCAGTGACAACATTCCCATGTCTGGACTGAAGAGAACTGTTGAGAATCAACCCAGATGACCTCTTCTACTTCCTTCCAGCCTGTCATTCCACAATCCCCAACTAACATCATCAGGTGTCTTACCTTTCCTGCATAATGATAAATTCCAAAGGTTAGATCTACTCTTTTGGGTCTCCAAAAATATTTTGACTTCAAATTATCTTCAAATTTTTCTGAAAGGAAACAAATAGCTTATCTTACTGGAGTTACTGTACAATCATTCTCTTCTGAAGCCGTATCCCTCCAAGGAGATTTCCTGACTTCTCAGCCAATGCAGAGGCACAAAACAGACACTGATGTTTTCAAGGACAGAGATACCATAATGGTCTTGTAACAAAAGACACTGGATAGAGAAAATGGGAGTTCTTGGACAAGTTACTTACTTTGTTCCAATTTTTTAATGTGTGACCTCAGAAAATCATGGAATCATAGAATAATTAAGGTAGGAAAAGATGTCTAAGATCATTGAGTCCAGCCCTTAATCCAGCACCACCCTGTTCACCACTAAGCTATGTCCCCAGGTGCCACATCCACACATGTTTTGAACACTTCCAGGGCTTGTCTTTCCAAGATTTTGATCTACATATATGAAAAAATGCAGAAATCTTTCCTAAGGATTCCTTGAGGAGTTGTGAAGAAACATTCACTGATTGAGTGCTTCCATACTGTAGACTAAAAAGCATGAGGATAAAAGAACAACAAGCTCATATAATTGCTTTAACATGGACATTGTTACTGGATGTTATTAGGTTTTCTGATTGGATGTTGGCTAAAATTCTAATTTGACACTCTGCACATTCAAAAATGAGTAAAACCAGGATTTATCTGCACAGGAATATCACTGAAATAATGAAGTCAATGGTAATTGCAGCTACTCAACAGCACTGAAATATTCAGGATCTGAATTACAATTACTTTAGGTATTTTAATTTTAATTTGTGAATAGAAAACACTCAGAAAACATAATTTGTTGAAAGGCACTGAAGCATGTTTGCAGTCATTACTTTTAAAAAGTATTAAACTTCTTGATCAGATATTCCTCATCAAAAATCTCAAGAGCTAAGCATGACTGAACTTTGCAAACAGTGTTCTTGGTCTATGAACCTAGAGTTTTAACTCAGTTTGATCTTTACTCTTCAAGCTCTGCAGCAAAAAATTCCTGAAGGTGGGAGAACTTTAAACCTGGATCAGCAGCTTAGGTTCATTTGTACTCATGATGTTTCTCTACTTCAAGGACACAACCATCCCAGCATGCATGTCTCCCTCAAACACACTGTGACACTGAAATGGGGGCTCACTAAAAGCATAACTAGCATGTAGTCTGAACTGTACGTGCCAAACAGAAATTGAACAGAAGACAAGCTGTAAAACTGTGAAATGAACAAATACTCACCTACAAGTGTCTGATCTGTTGCTTGTGGGAATCGACTTTCCTCATCCAGCAGAGACAACAAACCCATTGGTTTCTGCAGGAACATATCTAGGAGGGGCCTGTTGTCCTCATATTCTATAACTCTTGCATCAACACCTTCGTAAAGGTATTCATTCTGCAGCAAGAAACAGAAGGCATGCTTTGTCTGTGTACACAGAACCACTTCAGAAAATAATTTACAAACTGTCAATTGCAGCAAATTAAAACTGCATTGAGAAAGTATGCCTCAGGGCTAAAGCCATCAAGGTTTTGCAGAAACAAATGTCAGCTGGGATTTCGGTTTGGAACATGTAAGTTCAATACTCACTCCTATAGCATATTTGGCTAAGTAAGATACTTTACAGGAATAGCAAGAATTAAAGAAACAGAGTTGAAGAAGATAAAGTATATAGTTTGCAAATAGAGACCTCAGGGTCTATTTATTTCCCTGCTCTGAAATGTAGAAAATTTCTTAACCATTTGGAGCTATATTTACATTCCCAACTCATTGCCCAGATCCAAGTGATGGCTAAGATTTACAGAACTGACTACAGGTTCCAGTGTCTTTACTCGTTTGATCACCCTCCTCAAATACATGGAAAAATTCTTAAGTGGAGAAGAAAGGTGCACATACTTTTTAAAAATTAAAAAACTGTGTACATACTTCCTAAGAATAAATTGCCTCAGATTTGCTTCTAACACATTTTCATTCCTTTTAAGGAACTAGGGAAATGTATTCCCCAAGATTTAAAAACAACAGAAAAGCTGATGGTGTGGACTTCTTTGTTTGCTTTTTTTTTTGTTTGGTTTGGTCTGGCTGTTTTTTTTTCCTGAAGACTGCAAATATCTGGATTCCTCGCAGACGAAGGAAAAAACAAAACCCAGATGTGTCTACAGTGTGTTGCGATGGTTTTATCTTGACTATAATTTAGATTATAGCTGGAAAATACAAGAATGACTTTCCTTAATCCTTTAGCAAGGCAGAGGACAGCTGCAGATTTACCAAGAGAAGGTTGCTCTAGGGACTACCACCCCCCATTATTTTTGCTTGAATTAGGTAAAGCAATAGCAGTTTTCTACCACACAATGCTCCTGTTTGTGCCAGGGATGCTTTCAGTCCTGTGCAGGCTGTACTGCGAAACACAGAGCTTTTGATCTACTTTAAAATCATCCCTCTGCCAAAGGATAGGACTTAATAAGTGTTGTATTCATGTACGGTGTTAACATCACAGTTTTGCCGTCCTGAATTCATTGTGAGAAGAATGTCACAAAAATGAATAATGGCTAATATTAAGGAGTTCAAAGACCTCTAACCTTGGAAGACCTCTTCTTATGTGTCATTCACTTGAGTCTGAGTGAGTGAAGAGGGCAACACATTGAGCATTTAAAAAAGAAGTTCACTTTCATATACAACAGAAAAGCACCTATTTCATACCTCTTAATCTCAGAGAAACAGCTAAAGGCATAAAATCAATAAGACTGGTCTGAAAATACAGGCACAAATAAAAATCTGCTGATCCATTTGAAAGAGGACACAAAATATAAACCAAAACCCTTTCAGTATCCAGATTGATGTAATTTCCCAGGACACTCTTCACTCTAAGGATAGGTTATAATTCAGTTTATATGCCACACAAGGGTGTAATCAGTAAGAATCTCACCTACAGCCCCATGAGGACTCCTCATTTGAGACAAATAACATTAACCTCATTCGTGTCTCCCCTGAAGCAGTGGACAGGTGGAGTTTTGCTTTTTTATTTAATCAATGACCTGAGTAGCAGGACAAGACAGGAGAGTAATAAATGTATCACTGATATAGGCGAGAAGTTAATTATATACCTGTAGGAGCTGGTGGCAGAAAGGGAATGAGTCTGTGTTATCTCCCAGAGATAACATGGGAGTAGGGGCAGTTTAACTGAGGGCTACAGCTACACTGACACACAGATGTTCATGGAACCAACTGTTACTGCTTAGGATTATTTAGAGTGCCCTTATCAAGGAGGCAAGAGGAAGAGACTGCTCAGGATGGATCTATCAGAGGAGAGTGTTTCGGTGACACTCAGACATCTTCAAACAAACTCTCACAGCCAACCTGTCTAATCATAAAACTTTTCCAACTACAAATGCTTGTGAGAGAGGCTGGTTTAGAGAGCTGATAAAAGTGTTCTCCTTGAAAAAGAAAAGAACTCTTAGAAGCTGTACTACTATGCTATAACAGCAACACCTGCTCCCCTCCCTGCCCAGGAGCACACAGGGCCTGACCTCCCAGCCTGCAGAGCATGTGACCACTCAGTCTGTGTCCTTTGTGTCTCACAACTGAACGAGTGTCAGCACTGACAGCTTTGGAGATGCTGCCATCTTCCCAGCAGGATAAGAAGGAGTTCACTCCATCACTTCCCACGAGCTCTTGAAGGACAGCTGATGACCAAGCCAGGCACCAGTGTGACAGATGACTCAGAAATAAATGATAATGTACTACATTTTCTAATATAGTGCTGGTTTCAACCACATCATTAGGATATAAGCAGCAAGTATAAAAGCTTTAATAACGGGCATCATAAAACTGTAATGAAACAAGTCTTATTGTTAATAAGACTTGTTAATCTCCTCCACAAGAAAGCTCCACAAAATAGCTACTTGAAATTCTAAAGCATATTCCATTAGAAAGTATTCCTGTGGATGGGATGTCAAAAGGAATAATTGAGTTACACTATTAATTGGGCTCCCATCTCATCTTAGTATTACATGGTATCTTTCCTATGATCAAAACTATGTAACATTAGCTTGTACCGCCTGGTTTCAATGGTAACAAAAGAATTACAAAATGCATTAGGAAATGGTCTTCATGTTTAATAAAGTAATGCCATTTCACCAAGAACATTTTATGAGGACACTGGGTTTAAATGGGGACACCAGGGACTTATTCAGAAGGAACATTTTCCAGCTGAAACTAGAAGATTGTCATGAGAATGTAAAATAAACATAGCATACATTTAATGCAAAAAGTATAATTCTTCTAACTGACAGCAAACTTGCTACTTTCCAAAGAGTTTTAGCTATCTGCCATTACACCTTTTACTTCTTATGGGGGAATGACAAATGAGAAAGGAATAGGAAGGCTGTTTTGCTGGACATTGTGACCTGCAGACCATGGAGCTGACAGAAAGTAACTTACAGCACTATCTAATATGTAAGGGGAACACCTTGAAGGACAGGACTGAAGGTCCAAAAATTCTGCTTTGCTTTATATTGACCAAAAAACCCCCTTGTGCTAGCAAAACAAAAAGCAGTGACTAAGTTGAGAGGGCACATTCTCTCCTCAGCCAGTAGAGACAGGGATATATCTATTTGTCTCCATTGACTAGTGGGAATCTACACTATCTTTATCTTAAACTATATACCCATTTCAGTCTTTCTGTTAAATTAGTGAAAGGGGATTGCATTCAGGCCTAAAAGCCTTTATTCTTAAATGCAAACATTAAGTCAAAAATAAAGAATAAATTCTCTTAATTTTGATTTGAGTTGTCCATGTTGGCCCCCAGACACTCCATTCCAGCTGACACCCTGAGCTTCAGGTTGGGATAGTACTACTGCTCCTTTCTTCTATCCCTGTCACTACTGTGGCCTTTTTTTTTTTTTTTTTTTTTTTTTTTGTGGGCCACACTTTCAAGGAAAGCAAAACTGTGAATGCTTTTCAGATTCAGAAACAGAAAAGAGACTACTGGCAATGAAAAACAATGTCACCTGCAACACTGAAAGTACAATTCAGCCTCATGAGTGTATTTACTATTTGGCTTCATTGGTCAAGTTGCCAAAATATGATTCACCTTCTCTGATGACATAATCACTACTTACTACTATGTGAACATGAGCTGATGACAAACTAAAGTGTAATCAACTGATTAGGCCTCAGCTCAGATCTGTCAAATTTCATCAAATTGCATGTGATATGATATTGAACAGGGCAAAATAGGGAGAGGAATGAAAAAACAATGTATTTGTACATTTTATGTTTCTTGAGAGAAGTATGAAAGAACTTAAATTCTTCAGGCTTTCTTCCTTGGGTAGATCTACAGGGTTCAATGTGGTGTGTTACAGATTTCTGAGGTAGCACAGGGCAATCTGACATGTCTGTCTGGCACTGCACAGGGCTGTGAAGGGACACTAGCATGGGTCCCCGGTGACAGGACAGCTCCAGCAGCACAACAGTCAGGGCTAAGGGAAGTCAACAAAGATCTTGGTGACTTCTGGCATCAGCCTTCTTGTAAACATAACTTCTGTCTTTTAGAGTCTGTGACACAAACCCTTGCATATAAAGTCATTTGTAAAGTCAGGCAGATACATCAGCAAAGAGCAGAGGTCATCCTAGTGTTTGTTCACATAAGTGATATTTTTAATTTTTGTTTACAATTAAAGTACATTACTGGTGTCAACACAGCAGAGTCCTTACAGTGAACAGGAAAGTGAACAGGAAAGATTCTGGAGCCACCTGCTTTCTCAAAGGCTGTTTTTGTGATGTAAAACTGGGACAACCATGTAATAAATAAATGAAAAGTGATGTCTTATAATGACTGTGAATCATACCACAAATCATTCTGTGCCACTGAGTTGTAATGCAGAATAACACATTTCTCACTTCCCGTCTCTGAAAGGGGCAAATTTACACTTGCATGAACTTAATCTATACAGCTCCTTATGCACCCCTGTAGTAATATCTTTGGGGACTGCTACAAGGTAGTATAATGAAGTTTGGTATAATCTGATATAGTGGTTTGATGCAAATTGAGGTAGACAGTCACTTGGTTGGTATTACAGGCTGGATGTGGACACTTGTAATAGAAATATTAGGACTGGTATAAATGAAATATGAATGGGAATGTGAATATAAGCACCAGAAAAAATAGTCTTAAAAGAATAGCTGTGTGATAGCCTGTGATTTGAATGAAGAACATTTGTTCATAACAATAAAACTGAGGAAAGAGTCCCTTACATCAAGAACAGAAGGCCTTCACTCATAAAAACACAATGCAGAGAGTTAGTGAGTGGAAGACCCTCTAAACCTGGCAGCAGGAGCATGACTGTGAGGTTATAGCACATCACACACAACATTCTTATGAGCTCACCAAGGAAATGGACTGTAGGCATAAAAATGTGTATGTTCCAAACAAGTAAAGCCAGATAATGACCTTGCCTAAAGGTTATGGATGCTGAAGTAAATAAGGGTTTGAGGAAAATAATGATTGCTAAAGGCTGTAAGAGATATGTCCAAAAGCTATTTCAGCAAGAAGAACTTAACAGACGTGATGAAGACTTGCCAGCTGCTGTCCATTATTCTATATGTCACTCAGAAATTTTCTTGGCCAGACCATTTGAAGACAGACACCCACCCACACACACCATGGTGTATTCTATGTATCTGTGAGTCAATGAAATCTGTGAGAGAATGAATGGAAATGGGTAAAATTGATGTACTTAGAGATTCTGTAAATAGAGATTACTTTTCCCTTCTATAGAGTCTGTAGCTGTACTAACTTTATACAGGGAGAAATGGGCAAACTATATATTGTCAAAATAAGAAGTTAATTTTTGCCCCCATGTGCTCAGTAACAGAAAAACCACCCTGACCATGGTGCAGCAAAGCACATGCAGGGAGAAAACTGTTCTTACTACACGGTGACACCACAAACCTCTGCAATAATATAGGTCTGGCCAAAAAGTTCTGTAGCAGGATATCTAGAAACAAATGAAGGCAGATTACACTAAACTTGACTCTAATTAAAAAAAAAAAAAAAAAAGAGAAGGAACATTAAAACAATGTTTGGGTGTACAGGAATAGGGCTAAGAACACCAAGGCTGGTCTCTCAGCAACAAAAGGCAACTAGGGAGAATGTGGTCCTGCTGCTGAACAAGTTTGTGGATGACATGGAAAAGGCTGAGATATTCAATGCCTTCTTTGCACTGGTCTTGACTGATAATTCCAGGTCCCTGAGAAAAGGGAGAAGTCTGGAGCAAGGAAGACTTAAACTTAGCATTTAAGCAAAGTGGACATATGCAAGTCCATGGGGCATGGTCAGTGCCTGGTTTTGACAGGAATAAATATTGTTGCTGCAGTCTGTGCTATTTCCATCTCCCAGCTGTTAGAAACAGCAATATCCAAGTGCCCTTCTTTTGTGAACTTGTGCACTTTGGAAAGAAGATGCCCAAGTAATTACAGCAGATCTAGTTAAATTTTCTCTGGCTTTTAGATGATATTAAAACCAAGGAAACATTGTGTCGGTAATCTTGCACATAAATCTATAAAAACAACTACAAGATACAAGACTGAAAGACAGCATTTCCTGAAATAATCGAGAAGAGGATAAAACACTGAGCCATAAAAAAAAAAAAATTGTCATATTACACATAGGTATATACACCTCTAGACTGACACATGCATTTATATGCATGTACACACCTGCACATGCATGTACACACCTGCATACATGGACACATTGCAAACTTGTATCTGTCTCACCTTAAAACAAACAGTGATTAACACTGACAAAATACTCTGTTTCTACTAACAATTAAAATTACAATTCAGGAGAATTTTCATACATGTATCATAAACCAAATAATTTTATTAAAATAACAAAAATATAATTTCACCTATGGTTTCAATTCTGATTGTTCTGCCATGGAGAATTCTGAAATATTTAAATTTTCACCAAGATATTTTTTTTTCCCCTAAAAATGTTATTTCTTAAAATAACAATATTGAATAATGATTAATTTAATTCTCCTGAAATTATTTACAAAGTTGAGATGAATTTTTTTGAGGTTTCTTCCCTCTCCTCTTCAAATTCATAAACTTTTATATTTACAATGCTATTCCTTTTCTCTGCTTTAAAGTAAATTATTTAGGTTAAATCCATCATTATTTAGCTGAAATGATCTAGTTTCTCAAGACGAAAAAAATAATTGTGAGATTTGCAGTTTTTAATAATGGAATTTCAGTGTTCTTTAAGCTTATTAGTAAACTAACATGAATCCTGCACTTTCAAAATTTTGTTACCACTCATTTACTCTTTTACTACAGAATCATACATTACAATACTCATTATTCCTCCAGAAAACAACATTGCATTTCCATCAATCAGATTATCACAGTGCACAGTGTTACGTTGCTTAGTTACTGTAAATTTCAAGTTTAATGCATTTTGTGTTGGCATTTTACTTGCAAATAGCAAGTACTGCTTCAAGGAAAACATACTTAAAAAACATTTTTTATGATCTGCTATTTACCAGCTATCATGGAGAAGGAACAATGTAGTTTCTTGAGACAAGGTTTTATACATTCAGTAATATTGAAAGCTTTATATATTTTATGTGTTTAGTAATACTAAAGCTTCATCAAAATAACCAACACATACCTGTTCCCAGGCAAAGACATGTTGATTGAAGTAGAACTGAATTTGCTCATTGGCAATGTTGATACACAGTTGTTCAAAAGAATTTTTTTTGAAATTCTCAAAGCCAAAGATATCAAGAATTCCAATATTCAAGCCGTCATCATTTTCACTGCAAAGATGAAATATACTTTTCATTGTTGTATCTTTATTTTTCATTAACCACATTCATTACTACTTCACAAAAGGAAATCATGGGCCAAATCCGTACACCAGTTAGACAGGATAAGTTTTGCTGAACTAGATCTCTCTTAAAATGACAATAATTGTTAGTTTGAGATACACAAATGCAGATCAATTCAAAGATTACTGCAATGCAGACCAGATACACAACAACCAAGTCAACTGATAAGTGAATACGGGATGTACAATTTTATTTTTACTCTAATATTTGTAAGTAATTATTCTAAAAAGCTGACTACAGTACAAAAAGAGCATGCAGTTCTTTTTGTTTCTCTTGGAATAACACAGGCTTTACTCACCAGTATCCTGAAATTAAAGACTGTTGTCATTAAGTATTATTTGTTCATATTACTTACTCATAACAATTAAAATTGCTTAGTTTAAGAGTAAAGTAAAAAGAATGACTAGCTAGACCTTTTATGTAGCTAAATAACTACTTTATGCACTGGGATGTGGTATGAATTTAAATTACCAATTAAATTCCAGAGAAGCACTGGAAAAACTTTGCTTTGATATTTTAAGTAGGGCATGCTCAAGATATGTGATCACTTCTGCAACTGGAAGAAACTCTAATACTTATTTGCTGAAGCAAAAAATTAAGAGGATATAATTTTATAACAAACTGAGGCTGACATTAGTGACCTTTGTAGACAAGTAAAATATAAATAATATTTTTTCTATAAAACTTCTTTGAGGGGCTATCTGTAACCATTTTTTAAATAAAGATTTAGGAGATCAGAAATTAAGAATCAGCCTCAAGACACTCATGAATAGCACTTAAACCTCTTTGTGAAGTCCATCTCAAAAAAGAAAGTGTTTCATTGTGGAGAGATCTGAATTTGGTGACTATTTAATCTGTCTCAAAATTACATTTTTGATTAATAGACTGCTAAAATTTATCTGCCCCATTTCTTTTTCAGAACTAATTACATAAAAACAGAAAAATTATTTTACTACCACAAAATCAAGCAAAATTTGTTTGGGTTTTTTTTTTTTATAGTGAGCATTTCAGGTTGAATTTTCTCCCTCTACACCAGCATAATAAGTAAGTATTGAGTCTGAAAAGGGCTCTGTACAGACAACTGAGAGAGGTACACAGGTTAGAATAGCTGCCCCATGTACCATGGATTTTACCCTATCACTTACTTATTTAAGTTCTGTTTATTGTTGCTTTGCTATAGCCAAATACTTAAAAGTTTAGACAAATTTAACTTGCAACCTTGGCTCTTCTCTGATGTTTAAGACGAAAAAATCCAGGAAATGCAGATCTGCAAACCAAAGCTATTTGTATTGATATGGTGTTTAAAATGTCACCTTGTAAGTGTGAAGTGGACAATACCACCAGTAAACGTGTTTAAAAACTATTCCCACACATATATGAAACCATGCTTATACCAACAGAGACAGCAGCATCAGTGTAAATAAGAGCAGAATTTGACCTATGTAATCAACATGACAAATATCAAAATTTTACTCTGAAAAACATACAAAATAAAAAGGGAAAAAAGTAAAAAGAGTTAAAAATACAAAAGAAAAAAAAAGGGTTAAATGAGTAAAGATCAACAGGAAAACAGCAGATGCTTTTGCCAACCATATCTACTGTATTTTCACTATATCCTATGAACGGGACAAACCCTTTTCGACATGGTGGGGTCATAAACGAAAAAGCAGCAGAGGAAAAGAACTCAATTACACTAAATGCTCTAGTGAAAGACAATATTATTACCACAGAAAGAATATCTCTTTATTCTACAAAATCTCCTTTTACCTTAAATGTTTGTCAGGTTTGAGTAAAGTGTTGATGCGATTGACTATCCAGCTGAAGAGGCGCCCGTACAGTGCTTTGGCCATGGCATCTCTGACATCAGTGGCTTTTTCCACAGTGTTGGGACGAATAATTGTTTCTCCACGAGTCACTACACAGTGAGAGGTGAGGGCCTCTTGCAGTTCATCTGCCTGAATACACAGCAGGGATGCACCTGGGAAGGAATGTCACAGGCATAGCTCAGAGACAGATTTTGGAAGGTGACTATGGGAGAAGTACCCAAGTTGTGAGGTGTAAATACCCCTCTCAGTTATAACCCACTCATACAAGTCACTGCTGTTCTCCTTTTGCTCCAAAAAGTCTCAAAGGTCTTTTCAACCTAGTTAATTCTGTGTTAATTCTGTGATGAAAAGGGACTCTGTCATGAAAAAGGCTGTTATTACTCTGGACAGTGAACTGATATATACAGTAAATTCAGTACCTATACACAAATACATACATTTCAAATAATATTTGGAATTAGTAAAATAATGCTTCCGTTGCAGGTTGGACTTAGATTTTAACTGCAAATTTTCATCTGAATAGTGAATGTTCATCATTATACCTGATGATCTGAGTGGTTTTTACTCAGAAAAATCTAGGTGTACCTGTAAAGCATACTAACAGTCTGTGACAATGTGTCTTTTGAGGCATAAAGTAATAGTATGTTTTTTAAATAGCAGGTTGAAAACTTTTGTAGCAGTTTTATAAGAAGCAGTTTTGAAAATCTGATTGGTATTTTATAACTAAGAACTTTTTATAATTGCACAGCATTTTATCCTTATTATTCAATAGTTTGCTGGTACCATGTCAGGCATCATTTACTCAGATAAAATCTCTAATTGCTCTAGAATACTTGAGCTTGTTTTCAACACTTTCAGAAGTTAATCTAGCAGTTAATAAATAGTGATTCCAGTGACAGCAAGACAAACGGGGTAAGCTCACTCTAAAAAATTATGCTGAAGATAATTGGCACACAGTTTACTTAGGATTAAGTACTCATTTTCATTTTAAGCTTAGGGACACAGTTGAAATGCAAAGAAATAGATAGCTTAACTTCTGACATCATGCTGTACAATATGTATAGCTGCTGACATTTTCCTGCCCTTTTCCAGTGTGTTTGAAATCTGGCTTGATCTGTTTCATACAACATAATTATTGTTTCCCTCAGGCAATCCTTTCTTACTAATTTTGCTGTGCAGCCTGAAATAAAACTGTGATTTTAAGACAGGGAGTACTGACAGTAGTTACTTTTAAAGCCTGTCAGTCAGTTAAAAGCAAATTTCAAAGAAATAAAGCTTTGTTTAGGTTTCAGTTTTAACCGAAGATTTTATTATGTCCATGGTTTTCTGCTAATAAAACACTGAATGTGCTTATATAGAAATTCCTCTGTGCACTGGGACGAATCTCAAAGCTTAAGGCTGCATTACTAAAAAGTGAACTTGGGAAAGGAATTCAATGTCTTATGGGATATTTTTTTCACTGAAAAAAAAAAAGTCTTTGCACATGTATCCGATATCATAACATCAGTGGGGGAAGAAGACTCTTCCTTCACTCCTGCAAGCACAGCCTCAGACAGGTTAATTCACCCTGAGGAGGATGCAAGGCATGCTGACATGGCTGGGGGTCACAAGTAGCCACAAGCAGATTGCCTATGGCACTCAGCCTGCTTCTGAAACTGCAGGGTTCTACAGGTAGATAATTCTTCACAGATTCAGCTCCCAGTGGCTTGCTGAGTTAATCAAGTGAAGATCCATGCTAGAACTGCACAATGCAGCCAGTGACCTGGTTCTAACTGCGTCTTCAATGTACATGGAAGGCCTCTTTTGGATGATCGAGATTATTGTTTCCACCCATCCAAGTGAACAAAAGAATTGGAAACAAAAACAGACTTGCTGCTTTTCATGCTTTAAATTAGGATTTATCAAGGTCTCTGGTGCTGTGACAAAACTGCTATCAGTGCTGAAACATGAATGTCCTTTCATGCTGCTTCTGGAAAGGTGAAAGCACAAGTGAAAGGATGTGATACTACAGGTGTGATATTACTAAACGCAGCTGTGAATAACATGTAGAGGAGAAAGAGACTGTGAACACCTTTGCTACTACAACCTAATGCAAAGTGACCCTGGAAGAACAAAATAGGTGAATACATCTGTTCTGCTGGCTATTTCAAATATTTACATTGAGGGAAGCCAGAAAGTGTCAACTGAAGTGAGCAATTTTCTGTGAAAAGCTTCTTACCACATACAGTTTTGTCAGAGAAATGAAAACATATGTCCATTCTGAAGCACTAGTGCTATATTTCACGGATACTGTATGGATCATACCTTTACTATTTATATTGTTTATAAATAAAGTAAGAGATAAATGACACCTGTGATGCACCACTTCTCATGGGGAAAAACTAGGTCACAGGATGGGATTTCTTTCCTTTATAAATCCAGTCCTTTTTTAATTTCAATTCTACCAAAGACAGACTGAGGAGAGGGGTTTAACAACTAGCTGAGCAATGATATGAGATCATAAAGAAAAATGGGTTCAGTTACTGTTTAGTGATGAGATTCATCTCCAAAGGGATTTAAGAACTTCATTCAACTTTATCCCCAGAGTTGTGAAAATATACTGAGTTCATCAATACCCAGATTAGCTCAATGAATTTTTAGAACTTTCACCATGGACTTCCTCTTAAAACTGAGATGAGGCTCATATTCACAGGCCTAAAATTATTGGCTAATAAACAGTTAAAACATAATTTTCTATGCATTAAATTTGTTAAAATCTCTCCCCCCCCCCCCACAAATTACTCAGCTGTTCTGTGTTCACTGATTTCAAAGCCTTGTTGGCTAATATAATTTTATTGGTTTACCAATGCCTTGAAACTTTAAAAATTTAAATGTTACTATATAACAGTAAGTTGACCATCCAAGATCCTAAAACACAAACAAAATATGCTAAAGGAATAAGGGAGATTTGAATGCTTTATATAAGTTCTTCCTGATTAAGGTAGCTGGTGAAGTTCACAAAGGAAAAGGATTATCAGCACTCACCTCCAGTGTAAAACCTATGACTTTGAAGCACTGTTCTATTAATTCAAACTGAGACTTATAAAAGCTATTGTTCATGAAATCTTGCACTATTCTGAAATGATCATTTTGCAGATATCTGAAAGAGTTGATGGATACAGAGTTAGAATGCAAACGAGGCTGAGAATTCAACACTGTGTTTCTTAGTAATCAATTTATGCAAAAATAAACTGCATTACCTGGGAGGTCTATATTCTGGCAGTTTATAATGTGCCAGCTTTTTCTTTTCTGCGAGACCAGCATAAATATAATAAAAAATATGGAAATTTTTCTCTCCTCTGAAACAACAGAAACAACAAACTGATTTAGTAATATAACCATGCTACATTTATTAATGACACACATACTATTACTAATGTTATTTTAATAATAGGCAAGACTCACACAAAGTGACAGAGGACTCTGAAAGAAGCTTTATTACACACTTGCTGTGAACACCCTTTTCATGCCATTCTGTGTTTGTCCTGACACTGCCAGGGTGGCTGCTCAGTGCTAAAGCAGCTCAGTGCTGCTCTGCCCTTGATGCAACTGGTAGATCCTGTGTGAGATCTTGCACGTTCCTCACCCACGCACACTGAAAGGGTTGCTTGACTCCAGTTATTTTAAAAAACCTTCTGACTGTGGGAGAGGTATACACTCTTGGTTCACTGAATGCAGTAGGTCTATTGTGTCTTTTAGCCCTGAACCTAGAAGCAGACATTCAGCAAAAGGGCCTTATGACTTGGCATGCTTTCCCTAGAAGCTAGGGAAAGTTCTCCTTATGAGTGCTCCCTAGTGCTCCTTATGAGAAAGAGCTAGGTGAAAATTTGCAACCATGACTGAGCCCTGAGATGCCCAAGTCAGTCACTACTGAATGGTAAAAAGGAATTGTGTTCAAACCCCTGCTTTGTGCATGAGCTTAGGTCTATGTCTCAGGGGCACCATTAGATCCTAGAAACATCAAATGGCTTGGGTTGGGAAGGACCTCAAGGATCATCTAGTTTCAACTCCCCTGTCATGGGCAGGGACAAGTTTCACTAGACCGGGTTGCTCAGAGACCCATCCAGCCTGGCTTTGAACACTTCCAGGGACGAGGCATCCTCAGCTTCCCTAGGCAACTTGTTTCAGTGCCTCACCACCCTCACACTAAAGAATTTCTTTCTAAAATCTAATCTAAACCTACTCTCTCTCAGTTTAAATCTATTGCCCCTTAACCCATCACTACATGTTCTTGCAAAAAAGTCTCAATCTTTCTTGCAGGCTCCCTTCAGGTGGAAGGTGGCTGTTTGGTCACCCCAAAGCCTTCTCTTCTCCAGGCTGAACAATCCAAATTTTCTCAGCCATTCCTTGTACCAGAGGTGCTCCATCCATCTAATAATCTTGGTGGCCTTCTATGGAATTTCTCCAATGGGTCCACATATTTCCTGTAGTGGGGACCCCAGAGCTGGCTGCAGCACTGCAGGTGGGGTCTCACCAGAGCAGAGTAGAGGGGCAGAATTCCCCCCCCCCGACCAGCTGCCCACACTGCTTGAGATGCAGCCCAGTGCACATTTGGCTCTCTGGGCTGGGAGGGCACATGGCTGGGTCATGTCAGCCTCTCATCCACTAGCACCCCCAAGCCCTTCTTGGCAGGGATATTTGACCCATAATCCCCTATAAACAAATCTTACTAGATGTTCCAAAATGGAAAATGACCAAACAAAGAAATAAGCTACAATACTATGGGAAATTTAGAGGAAGTAAATCCAAGTGACACATTTAACGCAATACTCCAAAATCCCACAATGAAATGTATACCTGAACTATTAGTAAGTTTTTAATTATTTGCACGTTCTTATTTTATATATCACATGGGCATTTTTATAAGATTTGTTTAAATAACCCAGGAAGCAACGAGAAAAAAATCTGGAGTAGTTTTCAGCTAGCTTACAGATTCATAAGCTATTAATGTAAAACTTTTAAGGAAAAACATCCAGGTAGCTCATTCATCTTAGTGTTTTGAACCAAGATGATTTCCTGCGTCATAGGCCTACTCTGCAACCCCCAAATCAGGTCAAATACAATTCTCATACTTACACTGCCTGGTGGACAACTCTGGATTTTTCAAGGAGGTACTCTGAAATCTGAGCTCCTACTACAGTGCCACCACAAGTGAATTTCATTTCCAAATATTTTCCAAATCTGCTTGAATTATCATTGATGATAGTGCCTGCATTCCCAAATGCTTCTACAAGGTTGTTCACCTGGAGAATTTTCTCCTGCAGAGTCCTGTTATTAGCCTGGATATGAAAAAGATAATTGCTTCAAATTATCAGTGATTACTCAAATTCATGCATTTTTAGGTGTTCCTTTAATCTTCTCATTGGTATTGTGAAGTGTGACATAATCAGGACAGCTATTCCCATGGAAATTACATGCAGAAAAAGGCATATATATATATTAAGGCTGTCTGGAAGAAATAACACTATAAATTAATTTCTACAGTTTCTGTGTTTTTGTGGCTCTGAGACGGCCAATCTGCTTTTAGGATCCTTGTTAGCATCTGGGTACTGCTCCACTGCACCCAATCCATTAGCTTGCTTTCATCTCACCTCAGGCATGCTAAAAATGGCATTTCACTCAGACAGTTATGGCGCCCACTTCCCAGAATGACTGTGTCCCACTGACAGCAATCTGGCTGTGGAAGAATGATAAGCTAGAGGAGGATTTTATTTAGTACTGCTTGGGTGACTTGAAGGTACTCAATTAAACAGGGATCTGACTAAGTCACAGCCCTCATTGCAGTGGGTACTTTTCATTGTGGAAACCCCAGCATATTTCCAAGTGACCGTACAAGGGAGGAACGAGCAGACAGATCAGCATCATGCTCTAATGTTCTTTGGAAAATGTGTAACAGTCTCACCCCACAAGCAATGCCCTGTCCATAGGTTCAGCCCTTTAGACCCAGGATAGCAAAGCCTTAAATCCTTACAGAGACATCCCCTCTGCCACTTACCTTGCCAAGGACAGTGAGCTGCTGAACCAGCAGATGGGCACTTTGCGTCTTGCCAGCTCCACTTTCTCCAGAAATAACAATACACTGCAGAGAACAGAGCAAGACTGAGCTCATCACATACGTCTCAGCCTGGCAGAGGATGTAATTAGATACCTCAACCATACCTGATCAGAGTTGTATGTCACCATGGACTGATAGCCTATGTCGGCAACAGCAAAAATGTGAGGAGGGTTAGCAGTCCGTTTGGCTCCAATATACAGTTTGGAATGCTAAGCGTAAGAAAAATACAAACATTATCACCATCCTTTAAAAACTTTTTTTTTTTTTTTTAAGTTTGGTTTTATTTTTAGATTAGTGTACAGCATGCTGAGGTTTCCAGCAGTGATGTTTTCTGAGGGAGCTGTTACTGCACTCACCATACCACGAATCTGTATGTATTTAGGACTATAAGAACTGCTAAAAAATGAAGTGCAATTTTCTATAATTTTAGCCCTGATTACATTATGAAACTCAATTTATTAGAAGAAAATTTGCTGTTGTCAGACATCATAGTTCCAACTTATTTAAATTTATTTGTGCTTCCCTTCCTATTAGTATCTCCGCATGGTATTGATGTTAAAACTTGAGATCTTTTCTGTACCTGCAGTATCTGACAACTAATAACCACAAATTATTGTATGATCTAACTTTAATATCGTTCCCCTTTTGTATAACAGGGAGACAAATTCCCTTTTGTATAATAAGGAGACAGATTCAAAGAAGTTAACATTTTACAGGATTGCTTTGTGTATGATCTACACTGCAGACATAAAGACACTAGAAATTAATTATTTTGGAGTTTCTGATTTCTGTGCTGAAATTCAGCAAGTGTTAAGAATTTGTGTCAATGTGCACTTGAAAGAACATCTCTACTGGTAATTCTGTTTTTCCAGAGTAAGTTAAAATAAACCTCAAGAATGGTCTTACTTTATACTTAACACAAATATTTATATTTTAGTGGAATTTGGTGCTAGTTTAAAATAGCAAAACCAAAATTTTCACACCTGTGAAGAATAAATATCTATGTTCCGAAATGGATTGACAGCGATGAGAATGTCCCCAACGTATGTGTAGATCTGGTCCTTGGCATAACCCTTCTGCAACTGTTCCGTTACTGTATTCTGATGGAGAGGGAACAGGAACCATAAATCACATGGGGGGAAAAAGAATGTTAGGAAAATATATAAAATATTTATATTGTTTCAATGGGTGAGGATGGGGAGGGAAGGTGCTTATATTCAGGAGTACAATGGATCGTCATCAAAAGTGAGTAATATTTTCAAACACACTGGCATTTCTAATATTTTGTCTTACTTTGAACAGTACATACTTACAGATCCTCAAATGGCTGTAGAAAAAGGAGTTAAGTACTGCTTTCACTCAGTTCATCAGATGTTTCCATGAGACAGTCTTGTCTACATTTCTACTACTAAATTTTCATGTAACTTATCAAGCAAGAGCTGTTTGATTGAGTCCATAACTGCCATTACAGCTGCTCTAACATTACTCTCAGTTATGATACAACACAGATGTTCAACTGTTTTGTTCCCATTAATGTAAACAATGAGGCATCTTTCCCTATTAACAAGCAGTCTCTGCTGTGATTGTTCTTTGCTGTTGCAGAGCCAGTTCCCCTGAACCAAGGAAAAAGAAGGGCCCATTAGTGGCATTCAAATTTCTTGATGTAATTTCCCTCAGCTTCTTCTGAATACACAGCTGAGTATATAAAGTGCCTGGTTAGGTTTCCAATCAAAAGAGGCCACAGAGCTGAATGAAGAAATTCAGACCAGCCTTGAGACTAATCTGGGGTACATGTGAAAACATTTAGGCTGCATACCCACTGGAACAGAACAATGAACTGGCAGCAGAGGTCTACAGAAGGAATTGCTTTCCTTCTTCATCTATCTATTCACAGTGTTGTACACTGTGTCCTGTTTAATACACTTACAAGACAAATTCTCAACAGCTGCAGAGGCTATATTTCCTTCATGAGAAAACATAAGGAGAAAATCTTGGTTTTTCATTCCCTTGATAAACTTTTTGGTTTTGAATGCTCTCTTTCCTTTTTGCCAGAACCAGATTCATGTTACAGAATTATTTTAGGGGAACTTCTGCCCTTTCTGAAATTATTTCTTGCATCAATAGAAAGAAGGTCTCTTGTCTTGCTCTGATGATGGGGCTATCTAAACTGGAAGAAAAATTTGAGTGGAAGAAAGAATACAGTTCTGAGAAGCTGCCATTCATATGTGAAAGTGGTTTTAAATTGGATTTGATTTAGTAACATCACACAGTCAAACAATGCATTTAGACAGAAGCTTCCTGAGGACTTCCATGAGAATGCTCCATCTCTGAGGAAATGGGATATATTCCAGTCAGTCTGGGGTTTTTATTGTGTAATAAAATCTCTTTAGCTTGGATTGTTTATATGTATCATGTTAAAAGATTAAAAAAAAAAAAACCCTACAACAGTCTTACTCTTCCCAATACTAAAAAACGCTTAAACCTGAACTTTGTACAGTAGATGAATTTTGTGTTAGTTCAATTGCAGTTAACAACAAGCTACTATAAAAAAAGCTCTTGAATAGATGGAATATGTTCTGTGAGCTGTCAGCAGGATACAGTTTACCAGCCCAAGTGCCACAATGAATATTCTGGACTGACAAAGTTACAATATACCAGAGAAGTTTTACAGATAAGAGAATGTGAATTATAGTCTATGCAGAGCCCAGTAGATGAAGAATGACAGTTCTTCATGATGGCCTCCTTGATGGCCTCCAAGACCTGTAGATAATGTGCTGCAGCCTGATTCTTCTTTCTGGTTTTGAAGCTTAAAGCATAAACAGAGCAGATCTCCTCCCTCCCTTATGCCATGTTTCCCTGCACACAGTGGACTAACTTTTGAACTTTGACAAACCAGTAGCATTTGTATCGGTAATTTGGTCAAAAGTTCACAAGAAGGCATTGACAGATGACAGGCTCAGCTGACATAAATTCACCCTCATGCATTTCCCCATCAAAATAAGTCAGTGAGAACCTAGTATGGGAGAGTATAGTGAGCTAGTTTAAGACAACTCTCAGTGCTCAAGCAACAGGGATGGAAGGTCTTGGACCTAGACCAATTTCAGGTTAACACACCATTGCAAACTGGATACTTAGCTGTAATAAAATCCAATGATATAAATCCTGTTTAGTCAATGGTGTTATAATACTGTTTGGTCGATGCTGTAACTCCAGAGATTGTTTTGGCTTTGAGTTGGAACCTTTCTGACACAGTTAATCTTGTCTAAAATATTTGGGATAAAGTGGTGAAATGTCATTGTACAATTACACAACTGAAGTGTGACAATACAGTTGAATTTGAAAATCAACAGCACACCACTGTGATTTAATATGTGATTACTTCTCTTCAGGAAAACATGAAAAAAAGAGGTTCTTACCTCATCCAGTACTTCCAAAGTTGCTAAATCATCTACTTCTTCTTGGTTTGAAACTAGTGACTTACTGTAGTTCCCTTTCTTTGTGTGAATACGTTCAAATCTAGAAAACAAAGAGATATAATCTCCTGACGAAAGGAAACACAGAGCAGATCTTGCATCTGCAACCATCTTGAAGGCCAAAACATTCTAGCTTTCCATTGTTCTGAATTTAAACACACAAATGTTTGAAAAGCAATACAGAAGTCAACTTCTTGGTACAGCACACGTGTACCTGACAGTTCAAAAGCTGTGATCTGATCCCAGAACTGCTACCATGAAGAACTTTGTCACTCTATAGATCCCTGCTTAGATCACACCCCTACATCAGCTGTAAGACAGGAGCTTGGCAATGCAAGTAAAGAAAAAAGAACACATTTATAAAGCATGCAAGAGTGAAACTCTGGCACCAACATGCAAAAAGATCCTGCTAACAGTTATGTATAGGACAAAACCAGGGGTGTATGATGAAATAGTACAGCAAAGATGATGCAGACAAAGCACTCAGGACAAAAACATTTCTAGCTTAGTAATGACAGTACTCTAAAGTCTGGCTGAGATGACCTCACAGAGCAAAGTGCTACAGAAACAGAACCACTGGGGTAAGTGAAATACATCTTGACCAAATTTTCTTGGACTTGCTAGGAGAAAAAGTTATACATGAGAAGGAAACAAAATTTCAAATATCTTTCTTACCAGGGTTAAACTTCAAGTTTAACTTTAAATTTGTCTTAGATTTCTTTTCTCCTTCAATCAAACCATAAACCCAACTTTATGCAGCCTTATTTTAATTAGCAAGAAAATTCCCAGAGACTTGGATCACTCTTTATCCAAGAGTAAAGGCATTGCTAAATAGAGCAAACACAGCAGAGAATGCAAGGTTTACAATTCATATTAGTTATACTTGTGTTATGAGATGAGGGAAAATAAGGGAAAGGGGAACTGGATAAGTAACAGCAGAGTTCACAAACTAAATCAAGCTCAGATATGTAAGAAGGCACAAGCACAGGAAAACTATTAATTAAATCTGATCTCCTGATATGACCTCACTCCCTTTGATGCCACTGGTGGGCAGGCAGCTCTCAAACACAAGAAACATTTACCTTGGTAAACTCAGACAGCCAGGAAACTGCTCTGTGAAGCACTCACTCTTTACCTTGATCCCAGACAAGACCAGGTAAATTCTTTATTTAATTTTGGTATTTGGACATATGGCATAGATAAAAGCAGACAGGTGTTTTCTACACAGGCAAGAATTTTGATGTACAGTGAACAGATGACAGAAGAAAGAGTGTAGTCTCACCAAGATGGAAAGTGTAGAGTGAGTGAACATCACACTGATGGGGAAAGCTGAACACCCACATATTTACTGCATATTTAATGGGCTGTACCTGTTCCATGAACATCACCTAGTTCATGAGTGCTGCTTCAGGTCATGCTGGCTGTGCACTGATGAGGGATGTAGATGCAGAAACTCAAGCAGGCACCAACTTGGTGCAATAACTATCTGTCAGGACTGAAAAGGGACTGGAAGAAATGGGCAAATGATGCCCTCCCAAAATGTAAGTGCCCTCACAATCTGGATAATGGAAATCCAGACCAGAGTGCACTTCATCTATCACTTCTTTCAATTTCTCTTGTCTCTAACAATAATTCCCTGAGGATGACAGAATGGCCTGTCCTCATCCTGGTGCCAGTTTCTTCCTCCTTTATACAGGTGCCAGCTACCACTAGAGTTTTTCAATTGTCCATAATGCAAAGGCAGGAGCTTCACACCTGCAGCTGACTAACTCTGCAACTTTAATATCAAGACACAAACATATAAGACTTCCTTGCAAGAGCTACACCATAGTTTCAGTTACTGTGCCAACACCACAGCGCAGTATCCAGTGAGGAGGCTAAGTGACCAGGAAGCAAAAGGAAACAAAGGATTGACAGGATCTACATTATCCTAGGTTTGACCTATTCTTCCTTTCCCTTTGGAATCCAGTTTTAACATGAGAGCTATCCTGATAGTAGTGTCCTTGCAACAACAGTATGAGACCACTTTTTGTAGCAGGTACCCCAGGTAGTATTAAAGAGGAGGTGGTAATGCAAAGATTTAAATTAACTCCTCAGCCTTGCATAATCTGCTGCTGTTTGATTTGCATTTAGTAGCTAAAGGACGTTTCTGAATCCAAAGTCAGAGGTATAGACAATATCCTACCCTCTCAATAGAAATCCAACCCCTCTATAATTCACACTCCTATTTATACCCCTTTTTAAAAGTTTAATTTGAAAAAAGTTAAATTTGAGCAGCTGAAACAATTTCTCCTTTGCACCTGCACGAAGGTCATTTTGTGTCCAGAAGATGCCTCTAATATCAGTGTGACTTTGAGACAGAGCTATCAATATGCACACAAGGGAAAGATGTGGGAATTGCAGGACTATGTCAAGCTCTGCAAGATCTACTGTTCTATTTTTCCCGTTGCTGAAGAAAGACTCGAAACAAAATATCTGTCAAGCTTTGCCTTCCATTTCTGGTGGCACTGTTACACATTGAACACATTTTTTTTTTTAATATGTTAGATCCTTAAATGTTACTGCAGATCAGTGAGAGAGTGGTATTTCCCAGGATTAGTTTCAATTACCATTTTTCATTTAATGTAAGAAACTAACAATTGCTGTGCAGGAAGGGAGGAGAATGCTCCAGTCATGGACATTTTTCTTTTTCTGTTTTTTTTTTTTTTTTTTTCTTTTAAGAAAACAGATCTCTGTGTATGCCAGGGAAGTTTAATTACATAAAATCGATCCTCCTGTAATTCTCCCCAGCTGACATTATAAGAACACTAGCGCTTGTTGGGCTAGATTATATTCTCCATTCTCCAGAGTACATAAGAGTGGCAGATTTGCAGAACACAATATTTTTCCACTTTGCTGTCAAAGGGCACAGACCCCTCAAGGGCAGTTATACTGCTTCACTTCAACCACTTAAAAAAACCCCACATCATTGCTGTTGACATCAGTGCTGAAATTTCATTAAGATCATGCACATAGACATTGTGAACTGAAATAACCATGCATCTCTGTTCTGCTCAAAAATATATTGGAGGCATTGGATTTTACAAGCATGCCCGACAAGCAATTCAGGCAGCTAAAGGCCAGAAACTTCAATGCACTAAGGACAAGAAAATGAGTCAAAGCAGCATTGTTTCTGTGCATTCTCTTTCACATCAATGCTCCCCTCCCCCCACCTTATCTTTCAAGATTCAGTTAAATCAAAATGAGGCAACCACAGCTTTTCTTCTTCAAATTGTCAGAATGTATTTAAAAGATTTCTGATAGTTCCAAAAATACCATGAAAAGGAAAGTGTGACTCATGATGCCCTGCTGAACTCTCTGCCTAAGCTGGTTGGAGAGTCATCTACAGACTAAGAAGTGACAGTAAAAGGGCTGGCCTTAGTCTGAGTGTACAGAAGAAACTAAAAATAATGAAGTTTTTGTAAGGTGAAGGTGGAAACAGCTGTACACCTCCCAGCAGTTACAAACAGCAGTAAAATGACAAAGAAGCAACACAGAGAAACTTCTACAGGATCTGTCATTGCTGGTGATTCTATTTCTCTGGAGGCTGAACAAAGCAGCACTAATTCACACTTAAAATCAACTTTTTTTCTTCACAGATATATCTTGTGAAATCTGCTTAAAACTACAGTCTGCTATCTATTAAAAATCTGTACCTAACTCTAGAAAGTGTAACACTTCAGTGATAAGCCTCCAGCTGCATCTGCACAATGCTTTGCAGATAAACCTGGGTTCCCCTCAGTATTTACATGATTGACAGCACTGAGACTACAGGCTGCAGTCTCAGGGGGCTGTCCTGCAGCTTATGCAATGTTCCTGAGGGCACAGTTGCCCTGCAGAGCTATGGGGCTTTTGATTCAGAGGTGGCCTGTGCCCAGCTCTGCACAATCTGTTTGACAAAGCTTGTGCTGCTTTTCCATGACCTGTAAACAAAGCAGATTATTATTCCTTCACAACAGCCTCAAGAAATTGCTGTACACTCACAAATTTTAGGGGGACGTATGTGTTCTTAACTGAGCAAATAGGAGATCTCTGAAAGGACTCTCTGGGATTAGCTCATGAGTCAGGTCCAGGCCCTGTGCTCAGAGCCATACCGAGATGACAAAGGGGAAACTCCATGGGTATGAAAAGCTGCTGAAGTGTCCCACCTTCAGGAGAAATGATTGCTGAGCAAGTGGACTGGCACAACAGTAAAGTACCACTTGCAGAGCATTTCTCCTGAGGAGTTCTGAATGCAGGAGGAACATCTTGCTCCTGTTTTCCTCAGAAGGTAAACTATTCTTCATTCAGGCATTGCTGTTGTCCATTGTGTTATATAGAAGAACATTATTCAGATTTAGAGATGTGTTTTAGCTATGGCACAAGATCTGCTTAGTCTAAGGCCTTTGCTCCCAGAACTTCCTACTGCTTCTACAGCCTAAGAGAAGTTTGCAGCACAGCCATCCTATGTAGGAGTGTCCTCAATGCAGAAGCACACACTTCTTGGTACAACAAAGCCCACACTGAGCTCCAGGAGAGGAAGAACTGGTCTGAAGGGATCAAAGATTGAACTGGAATTCCAAAGCCCCCCATTTAAGCCACTGCTCCCATTCAAATGTCATCTGGTGACCTTGCCCAAGACAGCACTGGACTCTGTGTGTACTATCTTGCACTGCTCCTCATATTGACTTTGTCAAGCCAGCATGGTGATCTCCCACCCTCTCCTACAGCCTGTCCTGCAGAGCTGAGCTCCAAGGATTGCTGTCAGCTGCTTTCCACTGGCAGGATGAGTCAGAGAGACTGGAACAGAGTGAACACCCAGAAAATGGGTGACACAAGTCTGTGCAATCAGGAAAAGTCACGAAAGGAAACTTTATGGCACTCCATGCTTTTAATAGGGGTCAATAAATTGACAACCACCTTTGTTGTACGTGAACTTCTGTGAAATTATCTCCCTGGCCTTTCCAAACAGTTAAATAGAGCAACTGTTTAGTACTCTGTTACTGATTTCAATGCCAATACAGGAGGACAAACTCCTAAGAGAATAATCCAGCTCACCCAAAACTTTGCATCATTTTGCAGTAGAATAGGTCTCTTTCCCATAGTTACTCAGAGAGTATATAAAGATAACTTAATCTGGGGACCAGTGGCATTTGCTGAAATCTAGGTGCACTGAATACCCCTCATATGTACAGCTCATTTCTGGAATGACTCACAATCCCCAGGAAATTCACAATGCACTAATCACTGCATATTTCTACAGAGATTATTGTAAAAGCAGTCAAGAAGAAGACAGCCAAACAATTCAAGATAAAAGTCTTACAAGCCTGACTGTCAGGAGTAGATGCGACAGTTCTGAAGGTTGTTTCAAAGACAGCTATTTCTGTTGCAGAGTAAAATTCTTTACAGTGCAGGGATATTTTCCCTCTTTTGGACTAGCAAGAAGTGTATTTTTAGAAGTGTTTTGGGATATATGCTGCAGTACTCATTTTTAATAACTATTTTCATAATTATTTATAAATTTTAACAGCTATACTGCTATATGGAAAGCCTTTGTCAAGCTCAGGGCCCCTGTCCTGAAAGTGACTCTCCTCACAAAAAAACCACAAAAAATAATTACACTTAGTATGCAACTTTGCCTGCTTCACCTCTCCTCTAATGTGAATTTAGCCCATATAGCATATCTCATATAGCACATTTTACATATAGTTCATATATCATTCCCAACAACAGATTTTAGAGATGTTACAGTCAGGATGCTATGGGAAAATGTTAATGTATCAAGGGATATTCTCTCCTGCTATTCCCATTGTCATTTCAGCCTGAGTTCTGAGCTAGGAAAGGTTAAGTTGCAAATAGATATTTTTAGCATAAAAAATATGATGATTTTAGAGAAAAATATACTGCATTTGCTCAAAGTAAAAAAGTGGAATTTTTAATGAAACTCATTGTTAGTATTTATGCTTTTTTGAGTCTTGAGTAGCACACGATATTCTAGTGCTAGAACACTGCTCAAAAGCTACTGAAAAACCACTATTACCTTCTGTCACTTCAATGAAACCTGGAGCCAGGCTGTGGCAAATTGCCATCTAGTTTTATCAGTGATAACTGAGATTTCTCTGATTACTCAGGTGGTTGGTGGGCTCTCTCCCTCTTGTTGTTTCTCTTGTTTCCATCTCTTGAGAGGATGCAGTACAATGCAGGACCTAAACCTTGGTTCCTGTTCACTAGAATAACAACACTGGGAAGGTTCTGAGGGCCATCATGACTCAGTGACTCCTCAGTGTTAGAAAGCACCTCAGGAACAATGGTGCCAATGGGAGAGACTTCAGGGTGGTTCCACTCTGTGCCTAGAGATTTCCCATCCTTCCTGAGCACACACAGTGCACAAGGATCGGATCTGAGGGTAAGGCCCTCTGCAAAAAACCCATGAGAACATGACACAATGTAATGAGCTTTTCTTTTTGAGCTGTATCCAACTGCACATTCAGCAAACAGCAAGGTAAGATCACAAGCACATCAACAGACTACCGCTGCAGAAAGCAGTCAGAAAATTACACCTCAGCCCAATGGGCTAAGAAGGCCAAGAAAGTGACTTGGTTTTGAGTGAAAACAGAAATAGTGCACACAATAAAACCTAGTGGCTGGACCTCAGCTATTAATTTTTTTTTCTTTTGAAATATAAAACTGCAATTAATGAATTAAATTTGATGAGGAGAGTAAACACATACAAAGAAAACAACCGCATTCTTAATTTTCAGCTTTAACTCAACATTACCAAGTTTATTGACTTTATATTCCAATGCCCATTGGAACACAATACAGGTAGCAGGATTTCTTCCCTCAGTAGAAGGAAAAGATCTTTAATCCCTTAAGCTACCTGTCTCTCACTGTTGCTCCCATTGTCAAGAAGGAGGAGAGTTATGCCTTCAAATTAGGGACTGAGATAGTGTGAGCTTGAGATCAGGAAGAAGTTTTACAAGGAAAGTTGCCAGCAGCTGATGAAAGTTCAGAAATTTCAGAGTAGGACCCTAACAGATCAGTGTAAAACAGTGCCAGAATAGCATAAACAAGAAAAGAGCAGCTCTTCCACGGGACTTGTCACTATAACGCTTATGTCTTGATTCTAAATCAGATTCACATGGTACTTCTGTACAGACTTTGCTTTTAACACCATTTGCTTTGTGCAGATTAAAGGTCAGAAGATACATATGATTAGCAATAAAAGACTTTTAAAAAAGCATGACTACTGAATTTAAAGATCTTTGCATAATCTCTTATTGTTCACAGCAGAAAAAAAACCCACAAATGCTGTTCTGTAGTCAGTCTAACAGTGTATTTCACAAAATTGCACAATCACAAAATCATTTAGGTTAGAAATACTACTTGTTAGTATTTTAAACTGCTAAACTGAAATATGAGCTATTCTCAGTTTAACCCTGGCATTTAAATGATACTCTGAACTAAATGAGTACATTTTTTTTGCACAGATTCAGATAAGAAAATATGTAATTTTTAAAATTTTATTATTATTTTGAAAGAGAAAATTCTGCTTTCCTTTGGGAAATTTGACATAAAAGTTACACTTCATCAACTATAAAAGCATAGGTAACTTCATTACCTGGTAATATATTCCTTTAAATTCTGGTTCTCATGAAGAGCTATCAGCTTGTAAAACACAGTTTAAACAGGACAGAGAAAATACCAGTAGATCATCCTGTTCTTGTATCACTTGACTGCTCTGTACACATGCAAATTGTGCCACTTTCTTTATGTTTGTAATGTACAGGAATCAAAAAAAGTTCATGTAGTTTGCTTTATGCAGCATTTACATGAAAAAAATAAAGGATTAAAAAAAAAAAGAATATGAAAACAAAAGTGAGTTCTCTAAAATGGGTAAAAAAGGTCACAATATCTAATTGACTAGAAGCTTGACTTTTTTTCCAAATCATTTAGGCTTTAAAAGGACTAATATCACAAGTGTTAACAAGATTTTAATTAATATAACCTAGTGGTTTGTACTTATTTTACCATATATCATTTCCCTGTGTTTTTTAAATAAATGCCATTTAAAGCCTGGATTATGCTGCTGGTTTAGTGCTCAGCACTGACATCTAGTAAGCTTATTTGAATTCAAGAATCTTTCTTGATTAAGCAAATGTCAAGTCTGCAATATATAGAGCACATAAATCCAGTCTGAAGCTTAAATGTAAGCCAAATGCATAGTTTTATACTGTGATGTCAGAAAGGAGAAAACACTACTCTTCCCATATCCAGTTAAAGTTGAAAAAACTTCAATGTCATAATTATTTAGAAATATATTTTTACTATCATCTTCAAAGCATAGACTAAATAGAAAATTCTCCAGAACTAGAACTGAAGACTGCTGTATATATTGTTACTCTAAATGTGTGAAAGGAAATGTGGCAGATTTTAACAAGCTTTTTCCACATAAATGATAATGCCAAAACATATTTTAAATTTTCATGTTCCTTTAAAAAAAAAAAGAAAAAGCATTGTGCTTTTTGAGCAGTCACACCAGTAGTACTTCAATACTATTCTATAACATCTCACATCTGATACATGCATGTACTGTATGGAGTTTTTTCAATTGTAAAACTGAGCCAAGACATTTTAAGTATTTTAAATAAAAGCCATCAGGTGTTAAGTGATTTGTTCAGAATTGATATCACTCAGATGCTAGTGGAAGAAAGAAAGTTTCCATTCAAGAAGACATAAGATTTGAAGTTTGCAAAACATGGTCTGCTAGGACTATCACTTATTTCAGTCAGAAAAATCCAACTCCTGCAGGAACCTGACTAGCTGGTTTTAGCATATTTGCTCAAACAAAACATTAGCTGACCATGCAAATGTATGAAAATGCCAAACATTAATTTCACCTAACCTTGGCTTTCTAAAAACTGGGGTCTAAGACTATATCTTGAGTCACAGAAGAAAGGGGAGGCACTTCCAAAGATTGTTTTATCCCACATGTGACTCATGACGCCTCTTTCTTTCCATTGGCAGTACAGGGGACCCCAAATATTAAACTTTCCATTTTTTGCCACCTAAAGTTATAAGGGTTGAATCTTTCTCTGAGTGCTAGTCATACTGAAACAGTGGAAGTATCAAAATTGACCCAGTTGGTCTACTCTTTGGCTACTTTTACCTTGCCTTTTCAGTGACTCCCATTTGTTGATGAACATCAATAAATTCCATGAGTTGCCTTTGTAGCACGTTTTCTTTTCCTTCAATTTGCTTAATAAAATCATGCTGCAAAAGAGTAGATACTGTTGGACGCTTCTCATAATCTTTAGTCAAGCACCTGTACTGACAGAAAAAAACATATGATCATTGAGGGTTAGCAGCTAAGTTTTGAAATGCTTGTCTGGAGTTCATTCATGACTCCATAATAAATGTATCTGTCTTAATCAAAACAGCTCTGCACTGAAAACTGATATGACTTCACAGAATTGATGAGTCCAAAAAGTTAATTATTGCATTTTAAAACTAAATATTCTTTAACTTAATGTCAAGGGTGTTGAAATGCTATTTCATGTATAAATACAGAGCCTCACTTGGAAGTCAAATGGATTTACTAACTAGCTTTTTAAGGGAGAGTATTAGTTGCAACAGATTTCAACAAAAGATATTTTATGCATGACATTTACACATGTTCCATATTCAACCAGAGTGGTCTCAGTTGTTACTCACTTGTTAATGAAGTCATTGAATTCAGGTGACCACAGTTCAGGCTGCTGTAGCGTTGGAGGAGGATTCCTGCAAAGGTCAGTGTGGTGATAAGTTAATAAGCTACTCGACAAAAACAATGTGTGAAGGCAGGCTGAGTAATGAGTTTTAGAAGGCCACCAAAAAAAGATATTGATTTCCACTGGTAAAAAGAGCATGGGTAGATGATGCAATGCCTTATTGGCTCTCCTACTTTACATAACTAATAAGGAGAAATAGCATCAAGATAATCTACCAAGTGTAGCTAAGAATCACTGTGATTTTTTCAATCAAATCAATAAAAAGAAATTAACAACCCATTATTCACTATTTACTTGTAATGGCAAGTTCCTTTTTTCAAGCCTGAAACAATATACTCTCTTAGGAGAAATTTTAAAAAGCAATTCTAAGTTTTCTCAGAAAGACAGAATTCATCAACTTCTTGAACAAAGTGTCCCAGGGAATTGGTTCTTTATTAATCATTCCTCATTCATCAGAAGATAATCGGAAGTGAAGGTTTAAATACAGATCTATTGTAAATGCATATACTGCTTTCTTTTCTATTGTTAAAGCTGTTTACTCAAGGAGTTATTTTAATTGAAATGGTCTTGACAGTCTTCTTCCATTCAGAGATGCCATTTTCACTGAATAAGGTCATGAAGACAAAAGGAATGACCAGCCAATAGACAAGGTGACTTCCTGTCTCTTTTCAATCAGCCATAACTGCTTTTCTTCAAGTGCTGCTTAATGTTTACTCTATCACTCTCAGGTTTTACTAAACAGAATGAAAGGTCATTGATCTTATATTTGCTCCAGGGCAGAAAGGTGCCCAGTACTTGAAAGAGTATAAGCCAGAAGCTTTTTTGAAGTCCTAGCTGCAGTGACTGACCACAATAGCTTGCAACTGCGTTTTCCATAGCAAGCAAAGGTAGGAAGACCATTCATACTCTGCTTCAGTGCCAAGTCAGCCAAGATTACTTAAGCCAAAAGGTAATTTAAACTAATTTGGGTGTCTTGGCTGAAAAGGACTCTAAGCACTTACATATGCTATGTGGGGCTCAGCTGCTGTGATACTGCTCCAGTTCTTAGGATGAAATCCAGAAACTACTACTGTATGATCATTACCTACAGACTTGGAGAATGATGTTTTTTGAAATGCCATAAGTGGCACTTCGGGTACTTATATTTTCAGCTTCAAAGCAAAAAACACAAAAGAAGTTGCTATTTGCACTGCCCAAGAACAGCAACACTGGAACTGCCAGAAGCAGCACATGCTAATGAAAAGCTGAAGCCTAAATGCATGTGAGTGTGGGAACAACCTTTGCTACAAAGGATAGAAGATAACTCCTGAAGACAAATATGGGACCTGTTCACCACAGTGGCATATTCAGACTCTGTATTTCTACCATATGTCATTCTTTGTAACAGAATATATGAGACTCAAGCAAGCCATGCATTCATGTGGCAGCAGCTCACTCAGGAGAAGGCCCTATGATTTTTTTCTCAAATGCAGCTGTAAGTCAGCTCTGAACTTGTCAATGTGTACACATGGTTAAAGCAGAGCCAGCAGAAAATAAAGCTGGGCAAGGTATTTTAAACCTACCTCCTAGTATAAATAATATAAAGAAAGTCCACAAACTTACACGGTCTAAGTGTGAAGAAAGCAAACTTTTGGGAAGCAAAAACTTTTGGAAAGCAAACTATAGGGGAAAAGTTCAGTCTAACCCATTAACAAACAAAGACATTAAGCTATTACCTTGGTATTTTGAAGAGTGCCCTCATGGGATGCAAATCAGCAAGAGGTGGATCTCCATCTCCCAACTCTATTGCGGTAATACCCAGAGACCATGCATCACATCTAGCATCATAGGAGCTATCTAGCTGCTGCTCACAGGCAATCACCTGTTGGAGAAAAAGACAGGAATGGTTAAATGTCCAGATTTAAGAGCGTACCCACAGGTGGAGGAATCTCTTACAGATTACTCAGTGAAACAAACAGATATACACACATTTAGAAAGCTAAAGTCTCCATCCAATTTTTGCTGAAAACCCTCCAACTTTGAACTAGAGAAAGCAGGTGTCCATGAACACCACATTCTCCAGCCAGATATTCTCTGACTTGGAGAAAGGGTACAAATCCATGGCTTTTTCAGCTGAATAAACTGCATCCCACAACAGAGGAAGTAGAAGTAAACTCAGCAACCCTACAACTCTTTATATGAATTATTTTTGCTAAGTATGTAACTATACTGCTCTCTCTATGAAGTGAAACAATCAGGAAAGCATTCACTATCTCTTACTGGGTCCTTATTCAACCAAATCAGCCAATTTCCAGTCAAGTGGATCTGGACAAAGTTCATTAGATCACAGCAAAGTATTTACCTTCAAATACATTTCAGCTTATCCATAATGCTGGATGAATCTAGAATTTTTCATCCGATTATTTCAGATCTAAACCAACATGTATATCATTAGTTATATGGATAGACCTATGTGTATGAACAGAGTGTGTTGATAAAAATAAATATTTATAAACAGAGTAGTTTCATGTGCTATAAACAGATGTACTTGCATGTGTTTGTGTGCACACAAATACTCTAAGTAGATAAGCTTATTTATAAGGAAATATTTTTCCTATCTCAGCTTAAAATGTATCTGTATATGCTTAAATTTCAGTCAGAAAAAACCTCCACAGAATCATAGTGCATCTTCTTCATTCATAATAACTTTTTCCATTTCTTGCTGAAGCAAGTATGGATATATAGTATTAAAAACTTTCCAGGTGCAGAAGTCAAAAAACAGAAGCTATAATGTGTCACAGTACCATCCTGGGCTCCTTCCCTCCATGGGGAGATATCTATAGTTTCAGAGCTTGAAAGGCTGGAAAGTACCAATAGTAGCACTCTATATCCTTCAACATTTTAGTAAGCATTTCAGAGTCTTGCTCCCTGCCTCTAATCTTGTAATTTCAAAAACAAACCTAGTTTTAACTTAATTCTTGCAAACATGTAAGACAGAAAGGTTTAAAACACTTTTTAAAAGGACATTGCTGTTTCATTTGGTGAAAGGACCAGGAAGAAAGACAAAGAGCAGAAATGCAGAACACAGCAGCTCGAGTACCAGTGACAAAACGTTCTGAAAGCTGACCTCTGGAGCCATCCAGAACGGGGTGCCCACGGAGGTGTTCCGACGGAGACGAGTGCTGGTCAGCTGAGCAGACACACCTGGAAGAATGAGGGGAAGCCATCATCAGAGCAGTTTCCATCCAAGACAGCCCTTCTGAAGGGTGACATCCTTGTCTTGTCATGCTACAACTTCCTGCGCAGGTGAATCTCAGATACATCTTTCCAGTTCTCTGGAAAGAGAGGCCCAGTCCTGAAAGGTTCTCTGCATCCTTTTTTCTAGTGGCTTCAGCAGGACCGGGACTTAATCCCAAATGAGCATTTGATTAGCAATCTGACTCCATATATTTTGACTGGTTAATTAAAGGTTTTCTACATCCTGTTTCAAGAGAGCAGTAAAACACCTTAGGGAGGGTGGAAAAGTACTGTACCTTCCACGCCTTCTAATGCTCACTACTGACACTAACCCTCCGTTTCATTTTATATATATATATATATTTCATGTTAACTCTATAAAAGATACTTATTCTCCTCTCTTAACTGCTCTGCCATAAAAAAGAAACAACAAAACAGTGAAACCTCAAAAATTCTTACAAAAGCAGAAGTCTCTCCATGCTCAAAGCACATTCTCAAAGCAACAATCCTGTAAATCAGCTTTGCAATATGAGCTGTAGTTTAGGGAATTAACTATTTCAGGCCAAGGGTTGGAAAGTGAACTCTGAAGTTCAAAGATTCCTTGCCGTCTTGAGTTAAAAGACACTGAAATATTAGAAATTCAGATGGACTACAACACAATTCTGAGCGGCCTGCCACCAATTTCCTTCCTTAAAAAACAAGGGTATACTGGTTGAAAATATCTCTAGTGCATGCAAAGGGGACAGTACAACATGGAAAAAAACAGCCCCTCAGCCAGCATGCCCTAAACTATTATGGATTTATGAGTCACAAACAACAGTGAAGTCCACACATGGAGAAAAACAACCCCCCAGCTAGCAAGTCCTAAACTATTATGGATTTGAGTATTGGCCAACAGTGAGGTCCACCAGGGGCATATTCTGAAGAGCTGATGCCATGGATGCATGGATGGCCAGAAAGGTCCTGTGCTCTACATACACATGCTCCAGCCTCAGTCTGACTGACATTGGAGCTCACTTATTTTGCCTTCGTACATACATTTGCTTTTTCTTTAAAATGTAAAACAACTTGGTTTCACTCTGTGAGTTCCATTTCATTGTTCTGAAACACATGAAGCTCCAGTGAGCACCACTGTCCAGTTTCAACTCTGTATTGTCTGGTTTGAAAATGCTTGATCTTCTCTTCCCTGAAAAGCCTGAAGACAGTTCATAACAAGAGCAATTCACATTAACTATCCAATGAGAATATTAACTAAACCTTTCACTGGGCAGGGTTTGGCTGTTTTGGGGATTTTTCAATATAGGTAAGAAACCATAGAGAACTTGATCTGTTTTTTCACTCTAAAGCTACGTGTTCAGCTCTGATTCACTAAATATCTGCATTTGCCTCTCACAGAAAAGTATGTAACATCTGAAAATAAAGACTGCAAGAAATACCCTGCCTGTTCCTTTGAGATAAATGCAACCAGTGTGGCTGCCTCCCTCTAGTCTAAACCAGCCTTGAGAAAGTTCCATCTTTTTCTCTCTTTATGTCTGCAGAAAGTCCAATACACAGTGTTATGCATCACGGAAAGCAGGACAATGTGAGTCTTAGCACAAAGTCCATCAATCCTACTTCTACTCAGCTAAGCAGGGGCTTTGTTTTTGCCATCTCAAGGAGCTGTCTGAGATCCAGCTTCCGGCTCACAGAGTCTGTGGCTGTTCTGAGCTCTCAGAAAAACACGTCACACATCACCTCAGCTCTGAAACCACTGCAGGGATGCCAACAGACATTATTAGGTGAGATCCTTGATTTCAGAGGGAGCTGAGGCTACTCTCCCTTCCTCCATGTTGTGGGAGTCCCCTGTGCAAAGCTCTTTTTTTGCAGTCTTGGACAAGGATATGAGATTAGATCTGCAGACAAAGAAAGACACTGACTATATTTTTATGATTCCAATGTCAGATTTTATAAATAATCATAACTTTCTGTAGAGATAAGGAACAAAATATAATAGGTACATTAATGTGTTCAGTCTTCTCTGTCTATGCACTGTTGGTTTTTGTCCCTCTTTAAACTGTAATTATTAAATGAACTGAAGATTTTTTTCTCCTCACCCTTCTTTCATTTCAGTAAAAAACTGATTTAATTTGAATTGTTCACCACTTTCTTTAGGCTCTTGGGGGTTTTGTGTGCTTTTTGTTTGGTTGGTTTTTTTAATCCTTTTGCTCTCAGCATTAAAGTGGCATTTTAGATTATGCAGCGTAGGTCTTATGACAAATGATATTTCCTTGGGCTTTTTCTGTGTATAGAGGAAAGATGATGTAATTCCACACTTAGTAACATTTCTTCCAGCATTTCAGTAACCAGTCAAGCATACAGCTGGCCACTTTTTTTAACCTACATATTTTCAGACAAAACCATCTTGCTCCTCCCCTCCCCATTTACTACTGCTTTGTTGCAAAATGAGCCAAATATTATCCTAAGAAAATCTAAAATATGTCAAAAAATGATGTTTTATTACACATGAATTATTTTTTCTTATGGAAGTTAAGAGCTTTATAAATATGTGCATTAGTAGTACCAAAACACACCAAAAAGAAAATATTGTGCATACATCTGTATTTCTTATTATTTTTTTCAGGCACCATTTTACTAATAAAAACTGAAAATCAGGACACTTAAACTATGAGTATACTATGAGTATTTTTCAAGGTTTTCATTGTGAAAAGAGGCATATTGAAATAACCTTGCAAGTAAAGCCACCTGCTTCTGACCTTAGCACTCAGTAAAAGAAAAACAGGGCAGAAATTAGTTCCCTATTATTAGGAAAGACTTGTCTCACAGTGCCCAATCTGAGCTGACAACATTATGATCTAAACTGGGAGGCTGTACAACATCCCTTTATGATGATGTCCTGAGACAGCAGTCTGCCCATTTTAGTGCCTGATGCTAGTGAAGGAAGGGCCAGCCCTAGTAAATTGTACTAATCTCCCATTTGACACACAGCAGGGAGACTGCATTCATACACAACATCCTTGACCTTACCCCCAAGGGCTTTCACTCCCTTAGCTATTTCTTCCTTCTTTATTTGTGCCTTCAGTGTACACTTCACTACCAAAGCATCTTCATTGTGATTTTCTGCAGATTAAGAACATCATTAACTCCATCATTCCTTCAGATAGTGTCTGGGCCAAAAACAGCGCACACTGTTAAACCTACAGATCTAAACAGGCCAAAATGCTTTGAATTACTTCCCGATCTTTTTTTATCTCCTAGGGAAACAGATGTAAAACAGCAGCAGTGTTTCACACTGCATTCCCCTTAAGCTCTCTGGCAGGTATGTTTTGTCATTCTTGTTCCATGTCATATGATGCAAAAAGTGGCCTCTCCTTCCACATCTCTTTGCCCAAAGGTGTGACGTCAGTATTTTATAAATCACTCAATTCCACCTTTTTTAGCAGATCTGTAGGCAGCAGGTCCTAATGGTCCCAGGTTTTCCTTTAGCACCTTAAGCTTCACTTTGAGAAGAAGCTACTATTCCTGTTAGGATGCAGACAGGGAAGTAGCTACTTCCCTCTCAACAGTGGTGGAGTTATAACTCAATTCCTCTCTAATTGTTGATACCCTTGACACTGATTTCTTCGTTTGCTTATTTCAAGTTGCATTGGTGAGGTTTTCCTTAGCATTGTGTATACATTTCAGGTCAGCTGAATGTATACAAAATGCTAAGAAAAACTTCCATCATGCAATTCCTTCATACTACGAAATGACAAAAGACAACTGGGAAAGAACAATAATAAACCAAGGCAATTCTGGTAGTCCAAATGGCAACCATCACAACACACCAGGTATATAATTATGTGCAACCACACATAGTGGCATCCCCACTAAGACTGTAAAAGGAGATCAAAGAGCTTCTCCCAGGTTTAATTACTTATCATGAATAGAAAGACATTTAATAGAAAATGTTAACAGACCATAAGGACACAAATGGTGGGTTTTATGATTTTACAAGAGATGATTCAGAACCTTTGTGAAACAATTTGATTTCATATTTCAATATTCAAAATTCCTTACAGATTATAAACTGAACCCAAAAGTAAACTTTTAAATTAAAAGAGCACAGGACTATACAGCTCAATAGTGAACTGTTGTGAGAAAAGTATGCTTCAGAACTTCTGCTCAGTGATAAGGGCTCAAATTAAGTCTAGAACTAAAAATCTGATTCTGACCTGTAAGATGGAAATAAAGAAATAAGAAACAAAGTTGAAATGATGAGTCAAAAGTATTAGAATTTTCAGCACTATTTTATGTTGGAAGGTGTTATGTTATGAGGAAGCATGACTTGCTTTTCATAAATGCATACCACCTCCTCCCAATCACCTTCTTGTCTGTCATAGTTTAGAAATTATTTCCAGGATTATTGGCTCCATCATCTTCTGTGACGGAGATCATATGTGACTGACCAGACTGTAGTTCTCTGAAACCTCCTTCTTGCCTTTCTTGACAATTGGAATGAAAATAATTTTCTTCATTGCTTCAGGAATCTCCTTCAATCTCCAAGATATTTCAAAGATTATTGGCAGTGATCTTGCAATGACATCAGCCAGTTCCCTCAGCACTCCTGGGTGCATCCCAACAGGCCCCATGGACTTGTGTCCACCCAATTCTTTTAAATGCTCTCTAACCTGATCCCCCTTTACTGAAGGTACATTTGCCTTGCTTCAGAGTTCCCCACTGGTCTCAGGGATCTGGGATTACAAGTTAAGACAAAGTGGCAAAGAAGAGATTCAGTGCCTCCAGCTTTTCCATGTCCTTTGTCCACATTCTCTGTCTTTCTGTATTATTTTGATGTACATAGTGCTTTACTGCTGAAAACTAGTGTTTCCCAAACCCTCAGGAAAACACACACTGTAGATGCAAATTTTTAACTGAAATAGAAATATCCAAAAGATAACCAAAAGGCCCAGAAAGATCAAAAGCTCAGT